TTAAAATGATCAAATCTGATGATGTAATCAGGTTTTATTTCAGATATTATAAGTTATAGGTATTAATTATGTTTCATAATGTACTTATTGATATGTATGTTGAAATCTTCTTCTTGTATTCCTCATTCTTGAAGAGTAAACAATAATATCATAAATAGTGTGGTATGTAAACTTGTTGAACTACTGTAAAGGTGGCAGAAAAATGATTCACATTCATCACAGAGTAAAACTACAAAAAATTGGCACTATGTGTTTGTTAGTAATTCCTTATTTCTCTCAAGTGACAGGAACAGCAATGTTTTAGTTAATTAACATTAACATGCTAAATTAGTAAAATAACCTTACCTAACAATGAAATTAAACTGTTCACATTTCAAAGACGATATTATATTGTGACAATAAAGCAGTGATGATTTAGTCTGATAGAGCAGGCTGGCCTGGCTATACACTGATGGTAAAGTAAAGTCATTAGAGCAGGCTGGCCTGGCCATATACTGGTGGCAAAGTGAAGTCATTAGAGCAGGCTGGCCTGGCTATACACTGGTGGTAAAGTGAAGTCATTAGAGCAGGCTGGCCTGGCCATATACTGGTGGCAAAGTGAAGTCATTAGAGCAGGCTGGCCTGGCTATACACTGGTGGTAAAGTGAAGTCAATAGAGCAGGCTGGCCTGGCTATATACTGGTGGTAAAGTGAAGTCATTAGAGCAGGCTGGCCTGGCCATATACTGGTGGCAAAGTGAAGTCAATAGAGCAGGCTGGCTTGACTATACACTGGTGGTAAAGTGAAGTCAATAGAGCAGGCTGGCCTGGCCATACACTGGTGGTAAAGTGAAGTCATTAGAGCAGGCTGGCCTGGCTATATAATGGTGGCAAAGTGAAGCCATTAGAGCAGACTGGTCTGGCTATACACTGGTATTAAAGTGAAGTCATTAGGAGCAGGCTGGCCTGGCCATAAACTGGTGGTAAAGTGAAGTCAATAGAGCAGGCTGGCCTGGCTATATACTGTCATTAGAGCAGGCTGGCCTGGCTATACACTGGTGTTAAAGTGAAGTCAATAGAGCAGGCTGGCCTGGCTATACACTGGTGGCAAAGTGAAGTCATTAGAGCAGGCTGGCCTGGCCATACACTGGTGGTAAAGTGAAGTCAATAGAGCAGACTGGCCTGGTCATACACTAGTGGTAAAGTGGTCATTAGAGCAGGCTGGCCTGGCTATGCACTGGTGGTAAAGTGAAGTCAATAGAGCAGGCTGGCCTGGCTATACACTGGTGGCAAAGTGTAATCATTAGAGCAGGCTGGCCTGGCCATACACTGGTGGTAAAGTGAAGTCAATAGAGCAGACTGGCCTGGCCATACACTAGTGGTAAAGTGAAGTCATTAGAGCAGGCTGGCCTGGCTATACACTGGTGGTAGAGTGAAGTCAATAGAACAGGCTGGCCTGGCCATACACTGGTGGTTAAGTGAAGTCAATAGAGCAGGCTGGTCTGGCTATACACTGGTATTAAAGTGAAGTCATTAGAGCAGGCTGGCCTGGCCATACACTAGTGGAAAACTTCAAAAGTGAAGTCACTAGAGCAGGCTGGCCTGGCCATACACTGGTGGTAAAGTGAAGTCAATAGAGCAGACTGGCTTGGCTATATACTGGTGGAAAAGTGAAGTCAATAGAGCAGGCTGGCCTGGCCATACACTGGTGGTAAAGTGAAGTCAATAGAGCAGGCTGGCCTGGCCATACACTGGTGGTAAAGTGAAGTCAATAGAGCAGGCTGGCCTGGCCATTCACTGGTTGTAAAGTGAAGTCAATAGAGCAGACTGGCCTGGCCATACACTAGTGGTAAAGTGAAGTCAATAGAGCAGGCTGGCTTGGCTATATACTGGTGTTAAAGTGAAGTCATTAGAGCAGGCTGGCCTGGCTATATACTGGTGTTTAAGTGAAGTCATTAGTGCAGGCTGGCCTGGCTATATACTGGTGTTAAAGTGAAGTCATTAGAGCAGGCTGGCCTGGCCATACACTGGTGGTAAAGTGAAGTCATTAGAGCAGGCTGGTCTGGCTCTATACTCATGTTAAAGTAAAGTCATTAGAGCAGGCTGGCCTGGCTATATACTGGTGTTAAAGGGAAGTCATTAGTGCAGCTGGCCTGGCTTTAGTTAATACTGGTGGTATATTAAGACATTAAATTGGGCTGGCCAGGTTCACCCCGGTAGTACAGTTAAGTCATGAAAGCCTTTGGTATTCATAGGGTTATGAATATCTAGTTTTGTTATGACTAAAGAAAATTGCTGAGGAAACAGTTCTGTAGAATGTTGTTGTCATAATGTGTAACACTTGTGCAAATATAATATAAAACACTTGACATAATACCTATAATGAAACAATTGTCACCATCTTGAAGCAATAATCATGTCCTAGATACTGATGTCATGTTTACTGTCAAACTAGTTAAATCAGCTAACAAGACATTTACCATTAATGTGTCACCAGGGAATTCATTCACCATTTAAAACAGGCAGAAAAAATATGATATCAAAATTTTGCCATATATTTTTTTATGCAAATAAAACAAATTATGTACTAAAACGGGAATTGAAAAAGTTATATTTTTTAATTGAAATGAAAACAAATCTAACCTAAGAAACAATCAAGGTTAAACAAAGCACAAATGATGATTTACTGATTATTATTAAGTATTTGAATTGTACTTTGAGTGTCCTTATTGTTATTTTCTCTGATATTGTTAAATGCTTGTTTTGATAGAAACCAAAAAAGAGTTTATATTTATTTCTCAATTCTTTTTAGCTCACCTGTCACAAAGTGACAGGGTGAGCTTTTGTGATCGCTTTTCGTCCGGCGTCCGTCGTCCGTCGTCCGTCCGTCGTCCGTCCGTCCGTAAACTTTTGCTTTAAATGACATCTCCTCATAAACCACTGAGCCAATTTCATCCAAACTTCACAGGAATGTTCCTTTGGTGGTCACCTTTAAAAATTGTTCAAAGAATTTAATTCCATGCAGAACTCTGGTTGCCATGGCAACCAAAAGAAAAAACTTTAAATATCTTCTTTTAAAAAACCATAAGAGCTAGAGCTTAGATATTTGGCATGAAACATCTTCTAGTGAGTGTCTACCAAGTTTGTTCAAATAAAAGCCCTGGGGTCAAAATTGGCCCCGCCCCTGGGGGTCATTGATTTTCCCTATATGCATATAGTAAAAACTTAAAAAATCTTCTTTTAAAGAACCATAAGAGCTAGAGCTTAGATATTTGGCATGAAACATCTTCTAGTGAATGTCTACCAAGTTTGTTCAAATAAAAGCCCTGGGGTCAAAATTGGCCCCGACCCAGGGGGTCATTGATTTTCCCTATATGCATATAGTAAAAACTTAAAAAATCTTCTTTTAAAGAACCCAAAGAGCTAGAGCTAAGATATTAAGCATGAAACATCTTCTAGTGAATGTCTACCAAGTTTGTTCAAATTAAAGCCCTGGGGTCAAAATTGGCCCGCCCCGGGGGTCATTGATTTTCCCTATATGCATATAGTAAAAACTTAAAAAATCTTCTTTTAAAGAACCATAAGAGCTAGAGCTTAGATATTTGGCATGAAACATCTTCTAGTGAATGTCTACCAAGTTTGTTCAAATAAAAGCCCTGGGGTCAAAATTGACCCTGCCCCAGGGGGTCAAAAATTTTCCATATATGCATATAGTAAAAACTTAAACAATTTTCTTTTAAAGAACCCAAAGAGCTAGAGCTAAGATATTAAGCATGAAACATCTTCTAGTGAGTGTCTACCAAGTTTGTTCAAATTAAAGCCCTGGGGTCAAAATTGGCCCCGCCCCGGGGGTCATTGATTTTCCCTATATGCATATGGTAAAAACTTAAAAAATCTTCTTTTAAAGAACCATAAGAGCTAGAGCTTAGATATTTGGCATGAAACATCTTCTAGTGAATGTCTACCAAGTTTGTTCAAATAAAAGCCCTGGGGTCAAAATTGACCCTGCCCCAGGGGGTCATTGATTTTCCCTATATGCATATAGTAAAAACTTAAAAAATCTTCTTTTAAAGAACCCAAAGAGCTAGAGCTAAGATATTTAGCATGAAACATCTTCTAATGAGTGTATACCAAGTTTGTTCAAATAAAAGCTCTGGGGTCATATTGGCCCTGCCCCAGGGGGTCATTGATTTTCCCTATATGCATATAGTAAAAACTTAAAAAATCTTCTTTTAAAGAACTCAAAGAGCTAGAGCTAAGATATTTAGCATGAAACATGTTCTAATGGGTGTCTACCAAGTATGTTCAAATAAAAGCCCTGGGGTCAAAACTGGCCCCGCCCGGGGGGGGGTCATTGATTTTCCTTATATGTGTATAGCAAAAACTTAAAAATCTTCTTTGGAAAAACCCAAATAGCTAGAGTTTAGATATTAAGCATGAAACATCTTAAGTAAATATCTACAAAGTTTGTTAAAATAAACGCCCAGGGGTCAAAACTGGCCCTTCCCCAGGGGTGACATTGTTTTTAACTATATGTGTATAGTAAAAACTTTAAAAATCTTCTTTTAAAAAAGCCAATGAGCTAGAACTTAGATGTTTAGCATGAAACATCTTCTTATGGGTGTCTACCAAGTCTGTTCAAATAAACAAATAAAAGCCCTTGGGTAAAAATTGGCCCGGGGGTGGGGGGCCTATATACAGGTGAGCGACCTCAGGGCCATCATGGCCTTCTTGTTTATTATGTCCATAGCTAAACCATACTTTTTAGGTTTTTTTTCAATTTTAGCATTTAGTACAGATATGGTGAGACTCTGTAGTTTGGATGGAAATTAAACAGTCAACTTTACATTTTGCTGCCTTTATGACAACTTAGCACTACTTTCTGTTAATGATAAGCATCTAGCATACTTTGAATCTGTTATTCAAACAGTATAGAACATGTGATTATTATCTCAAAAAATGTGTTCATTTCTGAAACTTAAAGAATCATCATATCATTATTTTTTATTGATATATTTTCAGGACGTAAAGATGTGGCTGTAGAGTTATACAGGAAAGGTATTGCTGAACTACAGAAGGGCGTGGCTATTGATATTAAGGGACAAGGTGAGACAAATTTATGTTTTGATATGTCTTCATAAGGATTGAGAAGATTTTCCTTGCATCATCCATCAGTTAAACAATCAATAGTTGTGTTCCATGCAGACATAACAAAGTAACACAAGGAATTATTCTCAGATTATCTTTATATTATAATATTGTTTTTGTTTAAGAGTGATCATGTAACATGTCTGGTGGCTTGGTATCTTTCTTATAGAAATATGAGTGAGTTATGGTTGAAACGACTATATCAATTTTGATATCTGAAAGATTTGACAAGAATTACCTGTAACTACAGGCCCCGTGTTCACTAACAAAAGATCAGGATCAGGATCAAGTGATCCTGATTTTATTTTCATTGTTTTATGTTACTAAAATTAATCATGCTTTCATAGAATTGAATGGTATATATTCAAAATGTAAAATATTGCTGATTTGCAAAGAAACCAAACTATTTTGGGATAAAATCAACAAAAAACAAAACAAATACAAAAATTTTCAGATCAAAATAAGGATCAATTTTAGGATCAGGATCAATATTTGGATCAACTGTAAAATGCCCGTATCTTGCAAAAATGACAATAAATTTATTCTAAACTTTCATAAACTTGCTATTGCAAGTCTAGTTTTATCAAATTAATATTAGATATTTAATCTTTGAGGATAAACAATGAAGAATATTAGAGTTTTTAAATTTGATCCTGATCTTGATCCTGATCCTTAAATCTTTGTGAACACGGGGCCAGATTCTCATAAATTGTTCATATATCTTTGTCATGCTTCTGGGGTCAAAATTGGACCTACTCTTAGAGTCAGGTAGTTTATATAGGTTTCTTTGTGTGAAATTACAATGCCCAGAGCCTAGATATTTAGCATGTAGCATTACCTATTGAACATTTGAAACATGTTATTGGGTAGCACTTAGGTTCTATATAATATATTGCCAAGCTTTACAACTTACTAATATGTGCCTTTTTCATTAATGTTACTTTTTCTTGATTGTTTACAACACAAAGAAGAAATTTTCCAACTTATGATCAACAATTTCAGCCAAAATTTTGTATAAGAGTTACTGTTTGGCACTGTGAATCAAGCCATAAGCTTTGTGAATCAAGCCATAAGCTTTGTGAATTGAGCTATAAGCTTTGTGAACTGAGCCATAAGCTTTATGAATTGAGCCATAAACTTTATGAATTGTGACATAAGCTTTATGAATTGAGCCATATGCTATATGAATGGAGCCATAAGCTTTATGAATCAAGCCATAAGCTTTTTGAATTGAGCCATATGCTTTATGAATAGAGCCATAAGCTTTATGAATCAAGCCATAAGCTTTTTGAATTGAGCCATATGCTTTATGAATAGAGCCATAAGCTTTAAGAATTGAGCCATAAGCGTTATGAATTGAGCCAGAAGCTTTGTGAATCAAACCATTTGCTTTGTGAATTGATCCATATGCTTTATGACTTTGAGAATTGAGCCATAAGCTTTATGAATTGAGCCATAAGCGTTAAGAATTGAGCCATAAGCTTTATGAATTGAGCCATAAGCTTATGACTGAGCCATAAGCTTTAAGAATTGAGCCATAAGCTTTATGGCTTTGTGAATCAAGCCATAAACTTTATGAATTGAGCCATAAGCTTTATGAATTGAGCCATAAGCTTTGTGAATTGAGCCATTAGCTTTGTGAATAGAGTCATAAAAGTTATTTTTTGGTCTTATGAATGGAGTTTTATTTTGACATCCATTGGACTTAAAAACACTGTCAAGTATTTTAATACTAGTTCATTTTTATGTTATAACAGGAGAGAGTTGGGATAAAGCAAGACGATTACAGGAAAAGATGATGACCAATCTTGTTATGGCACAAGACAGACTAGAGGTGTTAGGTATGATTTTATATTGTTGTATATGTACATGTATATATAATATAGAAGTGATGTTTTGTGTGTTAAATCATGTTTCCTTGCTGACTTGTTTTGTTTACAATATTATAAAATTTATTTGAGTATTACTGTATTTTAAATTCTAATTTTATAGCAAGCACCTAGAAGATTTTTTGTTGTGTAAACTGTATCCCCATTTCTTCATTTCTGTATGTATTATTATTTGCTAAATGCACTTGATTAACTCTGCATAGGCATTTTTATCATATATTTTTTTAAATATTAAAGTTCTTTGGGGAAACTCCTCCAGGGGTCAGTAAGTTAAAACTTTTTTGATGCAGCAATATTGTCTGCTTTTACAAAGATTTTACACACATGGAATTTTTTAACTTAATCATGTCTCAAGCTTAAACAATCATATATTTCTTGACTAAAAAAAGCAAATTGTTGGCAGAGTTGCATATTGTTTCCTTTAAGAGATAAACAAACTGACATACAAATTTTCAATAGAAAACCTTTATTTTACCTTAGAATAAAAAACTATCTAGTCTAGAGCTGTGACACAGAGTATTGGAACCATATAATGGTGAAATTTATAATTAATATGTGATGTTGTTGTGTAGAATCTTGCATGATTTTCAGTGTTTCCACTAGTTTGATTCTTTGTGATTCTTTGCTGCCTTTACTGTACTAGTCTTATTGTTTTGTTCAAACTGTAGATAAATTATTACAAAAGGCTCCCAAATCACCCCAGAGAGCAACACCAATGGAGGTCGATGAAGCAGGACCATCGAGAGTAACTCCATCCCCTCAGGTACGACCAAAGTCTGGTCCGCTATCCCCTAATGTTACAGTTAGACAAAGACGTGCAGCAGCAACAACCACCACAACCAGAACAACTGTGATACCTAAACCATCTGTGATACCTAGAGCTCAAGGTATAGTGTAATATACTAGTAAAATGTATTATGAAACTAGAGCTGTTCCAGGAATCTAAATCTAAAAAATAGATCTCAAGGTTATTCACAATCCATGGGAATCATTGATGAATATGAATATACATGAAGTGGTAGTTATAATGTAAGTATGACAGATTTTATTCACTATGCATGCACTATACACTCATGTAGATCTGTACCAAACTGTTTGTTTTTTGTCAGTTGTCAGTTTTTATTTTCTTTGTTCCTCTAATTACACTAATTATATAAACATGTATCATCATTGAGATGCATGTATCAGGGGACACAAGATGATTTCATTATTTCTATTTGCATACAATTCATCTTTTTTTTTCATGCATATACATTTATCACTGGTGGTTTGAATGTTATTAGGGGTGTGTATATCTAGCTGATGGGCTGGTTGTTCTCTAGTCTCTACAGCTTTTATGTTTGTACAGTTATAATATATCCAACAGTTAACATAGAAAGTTACCATATGACTTTCACATTGCCAATTACAACAACAACAAATAGATGAACGAAGAAAACTGTGACATTTTAATTAAATATTAAGAGGTTAATACACGGCAGGAGAGGGCCGGAAGGTGATAATCGGCCCGCAAAATGAATAATGGACCCGAGGGCTTTAGCCCGAGGGTCATTATTCATTCAGGGCCGATTATCACCTTCCGGCCCCACGCTGACGTGTATTAATGTCTTTAATACACTTGGTAGATCTAATAGTAGCATTAAAAAAATCAAAACAAAATTTAATAGACTTTGAAGTTCTTTCCTTGAAATTCTTGTCTACTCTTCTACTGTTCTGTACAGAGATGTTTACTGTTTGTGTGTTCAAAGCAGTAGAATCAAGAAGCAAGTTTTATTTTCATTTTTTTTCGGAAAGAATTTCTTCAAATTTCAAAAGTAACAAAAATGTGTTTGTACTAAATACGCTTAAGCTCTCATAATAAAAATAAATCGATTCGTGCTGACAACCTACTTTCACTTTTACAGTTAACTGTTTGATGACGTAAAATATGACGTCATTGTTTCAGTTTGTGCACTTGCACATGTTCTGCGGGCTGATAACTAGTTCTCGGCCCCGGGCCGCAAACTCATAATAGGTCACGTGACACTCATAATCAGTTGAAATCATAGGCAATTTTGTTACTATATATAGTAACAAGTGTATTAAGTAGCAATCTTTAAGTTAATAGAATTATTAAGACTTCTTTCTTTTTCAACTTATATTTTACTACATTTAAAATCCTGTTTCATTGTTAGAATATCAACTGGTGGAAGTTGTATCATAGATATTTTTGTTTCTGGTATCTAGTCCTTTATTTTTTTCTAATTATACAAATGTAGAAACTTACACTAGTTTTTGAACACCCCTTTTACTCATCAGATAATTTTGTATTGTAACAGTTTGACATGGATTATATTGGTTTGACATTTTGCTAGTGTTTTATTACTTGTTCTTGGAATAAACAGTTGATTTCATGGCCAAGTTACTTTAGAAATGCAGCATTTAGATTGTACATTGTCATGTTGGAATCAGTAATGATAGAGATAAAAGACTTAAAGTGAGTTACTCATAGGTTAATATAGCTGGGGTGTGCCTGTCTGTTTATAGAAACAATGTTCCTAACTTTGATGATGAGTCATAGGCTAACTTGCCATTTCACTGATGCATGCCAACTGGATATATATAGAAACATGGCTATTGTTTTAAGTTGTTTATAATAATTGTTCTGTAATTTCTGGGCTGTACAACAAAAATGTAACATTTTTAGACTGAAATAACTATTTAATAAAAATAAAAATGGCCAGTTTAAATGGAAATTTCAGATACAATCTTTTAAGCACTTTTTCTTATATGTTAGTTAATTCTGATATGATAATAATGATGATACAATTTGTTACAGTTACAAATAAGCCTATGAAGATGAAGCAGCCTATAGGTGGCGCTGTACACAAGAGCAATACTTTACCCCGTAACTATGGCAACACCAGACGGGGAAGTGGGGAATCCTCACCTCGTAGCTCACCCTCAAACTCTCCATACTCCTGGAGACGTGGCATTCCTAGGCAAAATTCTATCCCTGGGGTAATTACTTAATAGCAATCTTTTAAAAATGTTGTTAAAATCATATCATGTTGTTTTTAGTGTACAACCAAATGGCTGAGTCGGGAAATAAACATGTTTCTATTACGTTTATATCTAGTGAATTCGTAGACAATTTGGAATCTACAGCTTCTGTAAAATGATTCATTAGTAGAAGTTAGCAAGGTTACTCTACAGAGATTTTTAAATGTGAACAAAACAAGCAACAACATGTGTGTATTATATTTGTTTACCAGTTCCCTTATTCTTTGAATGCATGTGACTTTCAGGCCAATAAAAACACTCCAAAGAAGCCAAAAGACATAAAGAATTTAAATCTGAAGGGTGTGGATAAGAAATTAGCAGAGACTATACTGAATGAAGTGATAGATAATGGACCAGCAGTCAGTTTTCAGGATATAGGTGTGAAAATCATTTCTTCCTCACTCATAGACTGTATTCATATACATTGTAATTCAGTATTTCTGTTTCAAGATTGGAATCTGTAAGGGACAAAGAATTCTTTCATATAAGGAATATAATATTCGGCTAACTTTCAAATGTTTGTTATTTCCGGAGATGTATTAACATACAAAGGAGCACCTTGGGTCTTCATGTAAAGTTTGAAAAATAACACTGTCACTGTTAGTTACCTGGTATAGTTATAAGTATACATGTATATCTCTTGTTTTATGTGAATATTATATGATGTTTTATAATGATAGGATTTATCTCTGACTCTTGAAATTAAGGCTTCTTATAACATAAACATTTTCAAAGCTGACTTTGTGCACTAATTTGTCTTATTTTGAAATTACAATGTATATGTAATTAATTTCAAAATAAATAAAGTAATATTGAGGAGTCAACTGTATAGAATCCGGTCAGAGTGCTCAGATGTGTAAGTTTATGGTATATACCAGATGTTATCACTGTGTGTATACAGTACATGATCTCATGATTTCAGCTGGACAAGATACAGCAAAACAAGCTCTCCAAGAGATAGTTATACTGCCTGCACTTAGACCAGAGGTAATCATTATATCTTCTTATGTTTAGTTTTCATTTCCATTTATGCAAAATTGGATTGTATTAATTCTAACCATGTTAAATGCTTAATTGACTTGTTCCACATTTATTGACAAAACCATAATTTTCATGGAAAATTTCAAAATAAATACTGACTGAATAGCAAACAGCGCAGACCATGATCTGACGGCAAAGTGTTTCTGGCTGATTTTGTTCCGCACTGGACATACATGTAGGTTTAGTCACTGCCAGCAAACTAAGGGTTAAATTCTTAATGTTTTTCTTTTCATTGACATTATGACATCATATTTTGTTTCTCTTACAGTTTTTAAGAAATACAAATATTTTCTTAAAGATATTTTCAGCACTGCTAAAAGTATAATTGTTTAAAAGAGATAGAATCAATATCTGTATCAATTATTAAGAACTGAGATATTTTTGCTAATCAAAAGTAAACATAAGTCACAAGAAAAATGTGTTTGTCAGAAATGAAAGCATTTGTAAACTTAGAGTAACATGTTTATTTGGTTGTAATATTTCAGCTGTTTACTGGTTTAAGAGCACCTGCCCGAGGGTTATTGCTGTTTGGTCCCCCTGGTAACGGGAAAACAATGTTGGCAAAGGCAGTTGCTAATGAATCTAACGCTACATTCTTCAATATCAGTGCCTCTAGTCTAACATCTAAATGGGTATGTACAATATAGTTGCTATATAATTGTCAGAGATAAAGTGTGGTCAATTATTTTAAATGTCTACCACTTACACTGTCATTAATTACACACAAATTACTGTAGCTCCATTAGTCCACATAGTAAAGAAAACTGTAAGAAATAAGGCTCTCCTCTATGGTAATTACTAGTTCATGTTACTGCGTGTACTTACATATTGAAAGGTGCCAGGTTTGAGTTCTATCCTAGGGCAAGATCTAGACTTATTTTACAGCATTTCATTATCATAATGAAGGTTTAATAATGTTCCTACTGATGATCAGATATTTAGAAGCTGGAACTGTTATTATTACAGGTTGGTGAAGGTGAGAAGCTAGTGAGAGCTATGTTTGCAGTTGCTAAGGAACTTCAACCATCTGTTGTCTTCATGGGTAAAATACTATTTTATTTCATGAAAATAATGAACTCGACTTTTTAAAAAATTGTATTTTACAGCTTTTGTTTTTATATGTATTGAATGGTTTAGGTTACTTTTACAAGTTGAAATTTTTATATATTTGTATTAAAGAATTCAAATGTGATTCTTTTGTAAACATATGTCTCTTGTTGATTATCCAAACCCTATGTCATCATTTGCAAGTTTTATCTCTCGTAACATATTTTATATATAGATGAGATAGACTCTGTGTTGTGTGAGAGAAAGGAAGGAGAAAATGATGCCAGTCGTCGACTCAAAACTGAATTTCTTGTGCAATTTGATGGGGTAAGACAAAAATGATAGTCTGTAATAGTCAGTTAAAATGGAATACAATTATTTCCAAGTCAAAGTGACCTAGAAATTCAGCTTATTTAAAATCATTATTTCTTCATTTACAATTAAATCTTTGATGTCTTTGGGCTTCTAATTTCAGGCACTTTTTAAGACTCGTAGTTTAAGCATAGATATTTGCAGAATTATTCCCCTTTATGAACTGGGTAACTTTGTGTTTACTCATTTGAAACTTAACAGGTGTTTGAAGGTTAATAGTGTTGTATGTCACATGATCCATAATTCTGGCTTGAAATTTTATTGAATTATACCCCTTTTTGAAATTTGAAAATCAGGCATTTCCACTTATCTGCATGGCTGTTTTATTATCACAGAGAAAAGTAAAGCAAAGTTAAATATTAAAAGAGAACAATCTAATCATTATAAGCTTGGACCATTAGATGAAAAACAAGTTTTTAGCAATGCAGTTACCTAGCAATTTGAGCAATATTCTACCATTATTTAACAGGGATTTTATAATCAATGTGATTATTATGTAAAAATTTATATATATTAAAGGTGATATGTGTTTGCAGGTAGCAGGTGCTAGTGATGATAAGGTGCTGATTATGGGAGCTACAAATAGACCACAGGAATTAGACGATGCTGTACTCAGGTTGTCTTTTACTCCATTCTTTATATTTATATCTTATTCTCCTTTTTCATGATGTATTTGTTATATGTTCTTCACACTATACTTCAATCATCAGTTTCTCATTTTCTATTTCTCACACTATTTTCCTTATTCTCTATTTCTAATACTGTAACCCAATTTATATTCGCGAATACAAATTTTCGCGTTTTGCCGAGGTCGGACATATTCGCGAATATTAATTTCCGCGTTTTCTTGATTTCAGAAAAAAAAAATTCGCGGATTGGAAAGTCCGATGGGGCCGTAAAATCCACTAGCCAACTATTAATCTTCAATAATTGAGGTCATTATTGGTGTCTAAAATGGGATTAACAATACGCTAGCCTTATATTGTATTGGTAAGTGAATTGTGATCACAATTCAGCAAAACATTTTCTCTAGATTTTTTTTATTTATATGTGTACATGTACGCATTGTTCGTCTTCATTTCTAAACATGTCGTTAAAAGGGTGTGTATCACACTATTATACTTTGTTTTTCTCGACTAAAAATAGTTTTCTTTCGTCTGTTCCCTTCAGATGTGTGAAAATCACAAACTAGACGATAATTGCTCAGTTGCGCGTGTCATAATGATGATTTTGTTTGTAACATGTTTAGCTGTTTTTACAAAGTTAATCTATTTAGGGTGTTGATTGACTTATGTCCAAAATGAGTGAATTATACGTTCTTTATAAATATTCGAACACTGTATCAATTCATTATGACTTTAAATGTAAATGAAATAGTGATTGCTATATTGACATAGAGTTCTTTTGATATTTATAAAATAGTAGTAGTTTACTTAGTTTGTGTTTTTATTGCTTTATGGCAATATTCATAACAATTCATTACTTCCTAACAGGTGCCCGTAAAATTCGAATATATCCGGTCAAGTAGCTTTGCATGAACAACGTCTAAAATAAAATTTTCTCTCCAATTTATTCGCGAAATCGTGCGGACTTATTCGCGCAAACAAATATTCGCGCTTCGTAGCCATCCGCGAATAAAGCGAATATTAATTGGTCGCGAATATTCGTTGGGTTACAGTATCATTTTACTTATCTCTAACACTTACACTATTTTCCTATTTTCTTCATTCTCTAACACACTAACATTTATACTGTTTTCTTCATTCATTAACACTTACACTAATTTTTATTATTATCTAACACTTAAATAATTTTCCTAATTCTCTAACACTTATTCCGGTTTCCTAACCCATTATTCCTTATATTCTATTTTTCTAAAGTGTGTTGGTCATATCTTTTGCATTTGATCCCATGCAGAAACTTATGTAGTACTTGTATAAAAATATGTCTATAACTCCCTTCCCCTATCAATGTGTGGTGTTTCTTTGGAAAAACACTCAGCATTGTACTCATTGCTGCCTAATATTGTGGAGAAATATGCTGAAATCAAGCACAGTTTTTACAATCTAGCCCTCGTATCATATGCCTCTATCTAATCTCTTTGTGTATTCTAGGCAAAAAGCTATCTAGCTAGCTTACTGAATGTTTGTGGTTCTACTCTGGTGCCTATTTGTGCCTGAAATGATGCATGGAAGGGCACCTGAGGTCTGCCTCCACCAGTAAACCTGGAAACTCGCTATATGACTTATGATGCAACATAAAACCCAACCAAAAAAAAAATCATTTTCAGTAACTATGACTACATCCTGTATTTATCATACAAACTTGATGTAATAATATTCTAATACACTTGGTAGAATTTTATTATTCAACTATTATCCATCATATCAAGTTCCAACATAAGTGATAGACTTAATTATTTCAATTTATTTGTTAACTTTTAACATTAATTCTTTTTGATGGAGTTTGTAAATCTGTAAGGGGAGATAATTACAGTAGAACTTCTATTAGTCGAACTTCGATTAGTCGAATTAAAATGAAAGTCCCGATTTTTTCCCCTATATATTCCTTATAAAAACCTATATATGAGTCGAAATTTTATGTGTCGAATTGTTCGATGTGTCGAACTTTTTTAGAGGTTCGTATATAATAAATCTAGTATAATTTACCACAAATAAGTCGAAGTCCTTCGATTATTTTGACAACTTTGTTCTCAAGACTTTTTTCATACCTTTTCCAGGCGCGAAGATGATTTCCAATCAACTTGTGTGACAGGTGTAAATTACATAGCCTTGTTTTCTAACAGCCTTTGTTTGAGTTTAAATGTGTTATAAAGTGATTTAATTGTTATCATTCAAATTTCTGTAGTGGTATTTGAAAGTAAACAATAAGAAATACTTTCATTTGAGAACTTCCATGACCCGGTGTCGGGTGATAATCACACGGGGATATATATTTACTATAAGCTGGGTTAGTTATCTCCCTTTCCTTTTGTTACGCCTTTTGTAACTTACTTGTATACATAAACGGCTCGAAATTTTGTCATCAATTGAGACCTTTTCATGAGTTGAAATCCCGATGTGTCAAAGTTTTTATGCAAGTCCCTTCAACTTCGACTTACCGAAGTTCTACTGTAATATGTTTTAACAATATTTCTTTATTGTTGTAGACGGTTTACTAAACGTGTGTATGTGACAATGCCAAACAAGTCGACTAGATTACATTTGCTGAAACATTTACTGGGTAAACATAGTAACAGTCTCACTGATAGAGAAATTGATGATCTAGCCAAGTAAGTCATGGTGTCAAATTACTAATTCCAGTTATATCATACTCTATAGTAAATTTACCAATCAACTGACTTAGTCAAAAGTTAACTTTGTATAAGATTAATAAAATTGGTATTATAATTTTGTTTCTTAATGTTATGGATGAATGTCAAAAAGAAGTTGTAACACAAAGTGTTATTATCACATGTAAACAGAATAAAATGTTAAAAAAATGTTAGAACAAAATTATATGCTGCTATTAAATTTCAAGTAGGATTTAAATATTAAGCAATAGTTTTGTGCATACGTCTTTCACTGTTAAGGAAATATACAGATTTCTTTCATATAGATATTTTGAAATATTCTTTTTCAAAATTACAGTAACAATTTTTGCTACAGATATATAGCTCTATACACTTTAAGTTAAAAAACACAAACAGTTCAAAATGCAAACTAAACAAGTTACCTTCATTCAGATTCTATGCTGTGATTATTAACACAATGTAATCTTTATGAAAAGCAGTTGCAAGAACATAACTAACATCATCAAGTTTAGGTGAATATGCATGAAAAGTGATATTGATGCAAATATTTATGAGAAAATGAAACTAAAAACCAGAAAAAAATCTAGTAAGTTGCCATTAGCTATGTTGAAATTCAATTACTTCTTTGATTTGATATTTAATTAAATTTTACATTTCAATGTACATAGAATTAGAATGGTCTTGATATTTTTCAGCTTCCATAAGAAATGTTTTAGTTAAATGCTGTTTAATTTTTACTCCAGGATGACAGATGGATATTCCGGTAGTGACTTGAATGCTTTAGCAAAAGATGCAGCTCTTGGTCCAATAAGAGGTTTGTATAAACACTTTAATCAGAAGTGATATATTGAAATGGCGTTTTTTGTGTTTTATTGAATAATTGCTCTTAATATTTTAGACATAGCATTTATTTTATACAGAAAATTATCCAGAACCCAATTTTGACCTGCTTTGTTAGTTTTTTTATCAAGATTGCTATTGAATATATTATATGCCATCATAATTCACAGGTAATTGTCCGACAATGTCCTTTTGTGACTTTAAAAAACTTTAAAAAACACAGATTTCATAACCAAATTTTATGTCCTGTGTTATATGAATATGGCAAAGTTGCCTCCCTTTTAAAAGATCCAACAATTGTTCTTCACATTTTTTTTTCAAAATGTGTGAACTTTAATTTTGTAATTGTAATGTTATAAATTTTAGAATCATTATAGTTATTCTATGATTTTTTCAAAGATCTTTTATTGATTCAAACATGCATATCTCGCAATAATTATTAGCAAATGCCACAAGAATGACAGTTAATATACTTGGTACTCTAATATTTAGCCCCTACCATGCTAAAAAACCTGATGTGATAAGCATTTGCCACTAATTTAGAGCCCACATCTGTGAAGCCAAATGAGTCTGCACATCTGTGTAACTTAAAAATTTCACCATAATATCCCTAAAATTGAATATTACATGGAGTATGACTCAAAACTAAGGTCTTTTGAAATTCATTATTCTTGTTTTTACAGAGCTATCATTAACAGAAGTGAAACATGTAGATGCAAGCAAGGTCAGTATATATACATGTACATGTATTGTAATCACAGAAAATTAGCAATGATCCTTTGCTTTTTATTAAAAATAGAATAGTTTTTAAATTTTACATATTGAATATAATGTTTAAACCACCCTGTTGGAAAGTTATCTTCTAAGATTGATTTAGAATTCATTCTGTTGTGGGGACTTAAAGGGACTCCACTGAGGTTTTTTGACATGATGGGACTGAAAATATTTTTTCCAGATAATTGTACCATTTGATGTAGGTTTAGACCACTAATCTTTGTGAAAAATTTCAAATCATTTGTGCACACCGTTTTTCCAGAATAATTATTCAAATTGTAAAAAACTGACCCAAACTGAAAAGCGTTTAAACGCTTTTCACACAAATTAGGCTAAAAAAAGCAGTCCCTTTAAAATATAATTAAATGCTATTATAAATGAATCATTTGAAATAATTTTAGCTATTACACAACATGTGTTGTTAATTGATTTTTCCAAATAACCTTTTTATTAAATCAGTGTATTTACTTGCTTTGAAGTTACATTTTTCCTATTTTGTATTTTCAGGTTCGGCAAATGAAGCTGTCAGATTTCACAGACTCTATAAAGAAAATCCGTAAAAGTGTCCCGCCAGAATCTTTAATGAAATATATGGAGTGGAATAGCTCATATGGGGATATGAATGTCTGACCTTTTCAGTATAAGAATGGCAATTCTGGGTCAATACATTTTGAATTAGTTTATATTGTTCACAGTTGTAAAAAGCACAGACTTTGAATTAATTCCTATTGTTGTGAAGCAAAAAATTTTGATAATGAAATTTTGTGTTGAGCATACAGAGTTGGATATCTTACACCAAAATACACAGTGCCTAATGTAGGAAAACTGTTAGAAAAAAACATGAGCAATGTTGTTGTGCAGAAATTAAGCAATATGTCATAGCACCTGTTTACATGAATATTTGTGGAGATTACATAAAAATGTGTGAGGGTTATATTCCTTCAAGAATGGATTTCATTTTCTTTGTTTTAGGAGAAAAAGATATAGAGTTGTGGTTTTGTCATGATTTGGAAACAAAGTTCATGTTTCATGTTTGATTATTGCGATTTTAAATAAATTCTATTATACATGTACATAGATCGATATATAAATAAGGCCTAAATGTGCTCTGTTAATGTGCTCTTACTAATATAACAATGCAAAATACTCCTATTCTTTCATATACATATTTTTATGTGCTTAAAAATATTTCTTAAACATCTAGCAATCATAATAATTGACTCATTTTAAAAGCAGTGTTAATGATATTACAGCTCCATAAAAATTGTCCAAAATTATTGAAATTCCATTCTAATGAATACTTGTTTTAACAATGTATAAGTGAGTAGTAAATATTTTAAAAGAAAGATAAAGGAAAGTTTAATAATTATTAAATTCTACAGTAGTTTTCCGGTATAACATATAGATTTTAACTACTCTATTCATGTTGGGATAGAAAATGCATGTAAAGGGTACCAATGTGTTACATGGATGTATGTCAACTTTTTGGTTTAACATTCATTTTTTTGTGTAGTGAAAATCAAAATAGAATGTGGGCAATTAATATATTACTCTGGACTTGTAATCACATTTACCTCCCCTGACAGTACATAGTAACCACACACCATGCCTGCAATAGTTCACCTCCATACAGAGCTGTAGTGTCATCCTTCATCATTCATAAATGTTTAGTTTAAAATTTGTTTATGTAAGAACTGTTAGATTAGAACTAGGTTAATTAAACACTATTATCTAGTCATTATTAAGATATTGTCAATATTTGATAGACAAATATGAAGGAAAAACATTTTTACACTTGGTAATATGCAATACATTATATACCTGTCCATATTTTTCTACATTAATACATGTATCACATGCGACAGGAAGTTGTGTATGATCCAGAATGACTTTGCTTGTATTATATTGCAATTACATTATGGTTAGATATTTAGTTTAAGTTAGACGGGATATATAATATAAGGGTTATTATATGGGTATTTTGATTTATTACGTGTATTTGGTTGTCATGGATTTTACTGGAACAGATCATTTTGCTTTAATATGCCTTATGAGATCTTCTCGTCAAATACAAGTTTTAGATTAAATACTCGTAAAATATTACTATTTTATTCATAATTCACGGACAGATGCTGTTATTGTATCACATACTGTTGTGTTAGTAAACAAAATTGAAAACAAGACTTAAATATGCTTTGTAATCAGTAACAAATTTCTAGATTTTCAAACTGTAATCTAAGTATTATTGATAAATGTTAAAGATGCTGTACATAGCTTTAACATATTTAAATTTTAACTTTGTAACTAAAGATAAAAAAATAAAAAGCATGGTATATGACCAGAAGAAGTTCTTATTTAAAATACTGGTACAATAAATGAAAATATATTTTTCTATGGCTTCATACAGATTGTCTGTCAGTTCTTGTTGTTTTGTTTGAGCTGAATGCCAAAGACAGTAAGTACATGTGGATATATGTGATGCAAGGATCACATTAATGTTATAATGAACCAATAATGGCTTTAATAACACAAAAATGGCATACTGTTTAAATGAATATTTCTGCATTTTGAAAAGTTAGCGAATTTAAAGTCGAGACATTTTGCGTGAGGAAATATAAGTGAATCATGCAAGGGTAGAATTTAATGACATATTGGTTGATATTTAGGCAAGAGGAAATTTTAGCTATTTTCATCAATACGCAAAATTTGCCAATATTTCCACGTGGCTAACTTAAACACTTATTCAATATGTTTTTTTAAATAAGGTTATGGTACAATAGTTTTATAAGTGAATATGTCACAGATTATTATGAATTCAGAGTTAAACTGTTTCATGTCAAACTTTTCATTAATTTCTTGGTTTGAACATTGACTAATAGATGAAGGTAAACTTGAATTTTATGCTGAAATGAAGTAACTGCTGATTTGTTTCTGTAATTGATCATGCTGAGTTTCAGTAAAGCAAGACATTTATTTCTTTAGTCATATGTAAAACTGAATAAGTAAATCATTCTTAATCTGTATATGTTATTTTTTCAGTTATTGAATATTTCAAAATTTTTGTAGATTTCATGCCAGCATAGTGTATAAATATTATAACAATGATCTAGTTATAAGCAAATGATCTGATTACCAGTACTTTAAGCCATATCATCAGTCAAAAGACCTAAGTAAGTTGGATATCACTCCAAATTATATCTGAATATGCAGTAATAGTATTGCAAGAGGTCATTTTTGCTTGTTATGAAGAAATTGATGCTGAATTTTAACCTAATACGACTACAATACAACAACAATACGACTACAATACAACAACAATATGACTACAATACAACAACAATACGCCTGCAATACGGCAACAATACGACTACAATACAACTACAATACGCCTACAAAACAACAACAATACGACTACAATACAACAACAATACGACTACAATACAACAACAACACGACTACAATACCACTACAATACGACTACAATACAACTATAATAAGACTACAATACAACAACAATACACCTACAATACAACAACAATACCACTACAATATGACTATAATACGACAACAATACAACAACAATACGACTACAATACAACAACAATACACCTACAATACAACAACAATACCACAACAATACGACTACAATACGACAACAATACGACTACAATACAACAACAATATGACTACAATACGCCTACAATACGACTACAATACAACTATACAATACAGACAGTTTGATTGATTGTTATTACAGTTTCAACATTGCTGATATTCTATGACTGCATTCTATAATTTAAACTTTACATTTATTGCTAAATTATAAAAAGTCATCCTTACCCAATTTGGTGCTTGATTAAAGTGCCATAAGATATACAGGTTGTAGTCAACTTGAGCCACTATAACTGCCAAACATAAATCAAAAATAATTTAATGAAAACTGTAATTCATTATTTAGTTACATTTGACAAGTAGTGGAAGAAGTCAGAACTAATGAATAAAAGATAGAATGTAACGTTAATCGAGTATTGTCAGTCTAAATGTCAGATCTCATTGCATTTAGATTATTGTTTAATACTTTAAGTAATATAGTATATTATTTCAGGGAAATATGAATTTAATATTGTGTTACAAAATGATATTGTTTTGTAGTGTTTACAAAATTTATGTTTTATAATACTAGTACATGTATTATGTCATGTTCTTTTCCCAGTTATTTTCCAATGTGTTTCATATATAGATGGTATTGATTTGTGACAATGGATGATGTTTAGTTATAAACTTGCTGCCAAGTTATCTTGACCTCAAAATTTATTAAAACTACAAACTTAAACTATAAATTATTTTTTGTTTAATAGCAACTTATTTCACCATACAAGAATCTACAGATACATGAAATAACTGTACAGCACATTACAAAAAAACTGTTACTTTAAAATGTAAGTTTAGAATTGATAATGAGTATTGAGAGATAGGGCAATGTAAAGTGTGTTTCACATACATATGTAGATATTCACAATGTAGAAGCTGATCATTTTTATTACAACATACACATACAGTGTTCAATACTTCCTGGGAATTTGCTGCTTCTGTGATTTGTCTTATGCTAGTAGATTTTGCTGATTTCAATTATTGTTCATATAATATATATGTTTATAGTGTTTTTAAGTATCACTTAAATATCTTGCCTGACAGTAGTGATCAATTTTTGCATTATAGTCACTATATGCCTCCCTTTTTACAATCTTAACACAAAAATGAGCCGCCTCATGACAAAACCAACATAATGGGTTTGCAACCAGCATGGATCCAGACCATTCATGCGCATCCGCGCAGTCTGATCAGGATCCATGCTGTTCGCTTACCAACCCTACTACTAGTAGAGAAACTGATAGCGAACAGTATGGATCCTGATCTGACTGCGCAGATGCGCAGGTTGGTCTGGATCCATGCTGGTCGCAAACCCATTATGTTGGTTTTGTCTTGACGCGGCTCAAATATTTTGTGCATATGTACCAGCATAAATCTCTTGTAATATGTATAGAATAAGATTTGGATAGGACATTCAGAAAATGCTTGCTAGTTGTTCGCTTAGTTTAAGGGTATAAGGCTATATCAAATGAAATATTTCTTTAAAATTTATCAACAGTAAAATTAGATAGGATCTCTAATCTAATAGTTGAGTCTCGAAAGATTTGTAACATAAAATGTCTTCCTTATTTAACACAAATGAATTTTGTATGTAAAAGAATAAAAGGTTCAGAAACAAAATATTCTACTATTTTAAGTAGGCTTTTATCCATTCAGCAATGAGTTTATCCATGCACCATTTGCTTTAAAGGCAGTTTATACAAGCATTTAGGAAAGATCTTTTTTTTTATAAATTCCAAGTATATGTTAGTGTTCATCTGTGCTGTTCTACAGAAATTAGAAACTTCGACGGGAGCAATAGCATCAGGAGAATGTTTCTAATTTCTGTAGAACAGCATGGATGAATACTAACATATTTAGTGTCAAACTTTATTTGGCCTCACGATTATCCACTTTATTACGTCACCATGCGGTTCTATGAAGTACTGTGAAAAATAGAAGGCGACTATGAACGGAATTCGATATAGTATCGACTTTTGTACTTCTATGAAAATTAACGCACACATTTTTTAAGAAATACAGCGTATTCATTGGATGACAAATAAAGTTGGACACTAACAATTATTATTGCAGCAGATATATAGCTTTTTTTTTACTTTAACATCAGGTTAATTGATAAATGTTTCTCAAAATTTTAATAAGATATAGTTTGTAATGTGAGTAGGCTAGGGCCTATCAGGAATTTGTTTTTTACTTACACCATCAATCTAATGTTACCATTAGATGTTTCAAAATAAATGAAGATAATCATGCTTTGTATATTTATGCGTAATTCTTTATAAATACAACCTGCTAGCTCTTTTGCAAGATAATTATATTTGGCAATTTGGTTCATGACATACAATGCAAAACCATGAGAAATTTTGATATATTCAACATTAATATTTTGCGTATTTGTTAATTTGTAAATATATTATCTTTGATTTGATTACTGTGAGACTATATTTGTATTTTGTTAAGTTTTGTCAGTAAAATGATGGCAGCATAGATTTATTTATTTCCTTTATAATTATTGTACATGTCACTTACAACTTTGATTTTGCTTGAGATAACAATTTTTAGTTGTTTTTTCTATTCATATCAAGCCTCATTTGTAAGGACCAAGACATAATAATCTAAGTCACACCAGATAAGTGTTCATACTTGGTATCATACCAAGTTATTACACCAGTGTGAATGTCTAGAAAATGTGAGCTCTGGTTGAACTTGAAAATCACAGCATCATGTTATATGTAAGGACAGTAATTTCATACTGACTATGGGTAGATATATAATACAGTATGAGGTGGGGATGAATTGTTTTGTATTCTTTAATATAGTATCATAACACCAGGTAATTTTGTCTCTGAAAAAAAAGAATTAGTAAATGTTTTAATTTAAACATTGTCAATGCAGAAGTTAGAGTTCTACTGATTTATCATATTATTTTATGATACTAGTAGTTGTCCAGATGACTGAGATTTTTGGTAATGACTGTGTTAAAAATTGTTTGTTTGGGTATACGGCACATCAACACTGTATAGGTCATATGGGGCAGAAACAGGAAATATGATTTTGGCTACCCTTGCATGTTACAAACTTCAAAGCGAAATCTGGGGTTGAAACCATCTCACCTGCTGGAGCTAAGAGATGCATAGTCTCTAGTATTGAACCCATTTAATCGCCTCTTACGCTCAAGCAGGGATAGACAGTGGCTGCAATTCTTAATGCTCAACCATAAAAATAATCCCTCAGCCACAAGGGAAAATTTTTAATAAAATTTTTGTTCAAGCTAGTGTAAGATTTTACCGTATGGGGTAGGTGCCCTTTTTACATTTCTCTTTAAATCTTTTACCAAATAAACAACGATAGTATTTACTTTGGAAATACTAGAAAATAACAATGATTTACCTCCTCGCATAATTACAAAAAAAATTTTAAACCTTGAAATTCCAAAACGACATATTTCTTTTATCCTTTAAAATTCTTGTTTTGAAACTTTTCCTATTATTTAACCTTTAAAAGGGGTTTTTTATGTTTTAAATTTAATTTTTATTAGACTCACATATAACATGGTGCTGTACGGGACCATCAATGTTGTTGTAGACATAGTAATATTGTATTGATGTTTTATAATATATTGAATGTCGTGTTTGTGCTGACAGTATATGCAAAATTGCATTTCAGATTTATAAAACATTCCTTTGAACATTATACAGGTGTTAAAATACATGAAGTATTAAAAATTTTCTTCCATAATTATTATCATGAGTTATCTAATTATAACCAGGACACAGTCACTTTGTGCTGCTCTCTTTCTGTATTTTATACTGGTACATTATATACTAATGTATGTGATGATCAAGACAAACATATTCATATATTACACTATAATTGATTTTAACAAATTTTTAAAGTGACATTATGCTCATTTTTTTCCTCACTTTCTGGCTAAGATGAATAATTTGTATATTTCAAAAGATTAACTACGATAATGGTGATTGAACAAAAATTGATAATGAAAAATGTTAAGAATTAAATATAAAAACTGCTTAAAATATAAAACGACTGCCCCAATGAACATTACGATAATTTCCGATGTTTATTTATAGATATTTATGTGGGTCACAGAGATTATTTATTGACTTTTCAGATGACCTTTGTATAAATTGAAAACAAATATGACAAAATGTAAAGTTATTTTGCAATTTACTCCTGAATGGGCATAAATATCATTTTAAGGAAATGACAATGAAGGCTTTTTTGTATTGTTTCTAAATTTACTAAAATTGCTCTGTTATCATGACACATTAAGTTAGATTGATAGTGTTTTAAAAAAAAATTGTTTTCTCCTTGAGCCAGTCATTTTAATGCTGCTATCAAACAGGTTATACATCATATAGAAAAGCTTTGTCACAAATGGTAGCACCACATCGAATACATCATCAATAGTTCCACCGTCTGCTCAAGGTATATTTTCACTTTCAACATTACATTATGTCTTCACTGGCTTGTTTTTGGCACATTGTGTAATTTTCATATTATATACAATCAGAGTGATGGCTGACTGTAACATTTCAGGCGATAATTATATTAATAACAGTGCTTTAAAATTGTAATTATCATTTTTTTCTATAACATTACTTAACTTTAGATTAAGCTGTTTGAATTAGAAGGAAATTATTTATCATGATTAAATACATAAAACAATCTTGTACAAATTTTATATTAAACTACTGCAAAATAAACTCTGTGAAAAAAAGTGACAGGTGTGTTGTTGTTGTTTTGCTCTAAAAAAAAGCTTTTGTCATGATCCTGATGTTAGAGTAAAATTGCACCATTTAGCCTTTTGCCCCCGGCCTTTTTAAAGAAAAGAGGGGGTTGTTGAAATGGGCTCTGCTATTCAGCCCCTCTGTCCATCAATACAAACAGAGGTACTTGTGTGACTAGGAGAACTATGGGTAACAGTACATTTTGTTTGATCATATTCATTCCGTTTATAATTGTATGTCTTGTTAAGCCTTGTGTCACTAAAATTAACTAAAAAGATCAAAAGAAATGTCACTTTAAGTACCATTTTGTTAGTATGTCCATCCCTCTGTCACACTTTTGTGTCAGTCCATATCTAAGCCATTCATCAAAGGAATAATAATAATAACAAATAATTGTTATAATGATACAATGTGTCATGCACAACACCCAGACCCCTACTTCCAAGGTCAAGGTCACACATGGTGATAAAACAAGGTCAACGTCACATATGGTGATAATAAATTGGAGGGTATATGTTGTGTCCTGTCCATAACTTTCTCATCCATTAAGGGATTTTGATAATACTTTGCACAAATGATCAAAATAATGAGATGATGTGTCATGCACGACACCCAGATGCCTACCTCCAAAGTCAAGGTCATACTTGGAGGTCAAAGCTTAACATGATCTATTATTGGCTACATTTTGATTTTGTGTCCGGTCCATAACCTTTTCATAGATCAAGGGATTTTGAAATTACTTGGCACAAATGTTCACAATAATAAGACTCTGTGTCATGCGCAACGCCTGGACCCTTACCTCCAAGGTCTTTTGGAGACAAAGCTTAACATGGTCTGTTAAAAGGTATCTTTTGTGTCTGGTCCATAATTTTTTCATCATTCAAAGGATTCTGAAATTACTTGGCACAAATGTTCACAATAATGAGACAATATGTCATGCACAATACCCAGATGTCTACCTTCAAAGGTCAAGGTCACACTTGGAGGTCAAAGCTTAACATTGCCTGTTATACTGTATATTTTGTGTCTGGTCCATAACTTTTGCATAGATCAAAGGATTAAGAAATTACTTGGCACAAATGTTTAAAATAATGGGACAATGTGTCATGCATAACACCCGGATCCCTACCTCAAGGTCAAGATCACACTGAGGGTCAAAGCTTAAAATGGTTTGTTGTGTTCGGTCCATTTGAAATAGCACAACTTTGTGCTGTATGTAAGCCTCCCCTTAGGCGGGAGATATTAGTAATAATTCTGTTACAAATTCTTGTTTTGCAAAGTTATGCCACTTTTTGATAAACATTTTTTTTTTTTGCCCTGGTTAAAAAATACTCATTTCAGACATGGAGTATTTGTTTACTATCAAAATAAGAATGCATTTCAGAAGAGGCAGTAACCTTATAATTCATTTTTGCTTATTTATACCCCTTTTGGACAAAGAATTTCTTTGTGAACTATTTAAATTTTATTTCTCACAAACTATAAAAAAAATTTGATTTCTTTTCTTATGGGTACTAACATAGTAATTACAGGATAGGACATCTTGTATAGTATATAGTGGTGTTTCTTAATGACTGAGGTACAAACTGGTTGAAACTAGTCAGTATTACCCCCAGCACAGTAAGTCAATTATAAATAGTTTTATAACTGTAAAATTTTGTCTTATGAACAAATATCTGGATTATTTTTGTTTTGATGTGATGTATGTGGATAAGTTAGTAATACAATGTACATATGGAGAGAAGGCAAGCACTGGTACAGGATCAAGTCATCCTTGTTCACTTCCCTGTGATATATAACTGATTCTTGTTTTCATGACATGTGTAATCAATCGTATGTTTGTTTTTCTGGCTTTTACACCTTTTTTAGCCAGTTGTTGGTCACATCTTAGTGACCAACCAGCTTTCCTGGATAACCGACAAGTTATTACTAATTTCTCCACAAGTGACCGCCTGCTAATCCCACATTATTTTGAATCGGCGGTGAAGAAAAATGACTTCTGTATGTCAAAGTACATTTCCTTACCTTACAGAGAGCTCACATAATACAATACTTATCATACAGTAAACAAACAAGAAACACATGGATAAAATTTGTATACCATTTACTATACAATGTTGCTTAAACAAGTTCGACTAGAAATTTTACAGTAATAATTTAATGATATAAAACATATACTGGATAATGATGGCACGGGATATTCAATACAGTACACTGACAACAGGAAATTGTGGAAAACAATATAAAATCTATATAACATAAATCATATTGCTATTCTGAATGATTCTGAAGAATTTTGCTTTAATTGTATATCGTTAGCCGCATGCTTTCATTAACTCTCATCTTCTTTATTAAAATTTTCAAAAAATTTAAAGTTCTGTATCAAAAAAAGTATATATTATATAAAAACAAAGCATTTTCCCCATGAAAACAAGTTTCCTTTAACCTACAGTATAGTCCTGTCCCAATCATTTCATATGAATACTTCAATATAGAGTGTAATTTTCAGCCTGTTCTTTGTGTTATCATTGTTCCAAAGCTCTCCTTGTAACAGGGTTATCTTACATACTTGTAGAATTTAGAGTCATGTGAATACTACATCCATCTATTCTATTCTATACTTCATAATATATTGCTTACAAATAAATATCAGATTGTTGAATGAAATGTATGTTGAAAAACATTGTTTTCCTTCAACAAATCCATGCCAACTTGACAGCTACCAAAACATGCAGGAGATAAAAAAAACAAATATGACTTATTAAAAAAAACACATAGCTAAAAATTTCACAACTGATGTTTGAAAATTTGGTGGTCTGGTGTTCGTCCTTAAAGGGATATTCAGGCAAAATAATGACAAAACTATCAAAATGATTTTATGTACTCAAATCACACTAAAATGACATTTCTTAAAGTTCTAGCATGAATTTCTGTTTAAATTCTACATATTTTGGGTTTGAAGCGTAAATATATCTATTTTATTGAACAAAATTTAGACGCCAATAAAATCAACGAATAGTTTTAAAACAAGTCATGTCACTTGAATAAACCCTTGAAATTACAATAACAGATATTGTATGATTGAAACAAGTCTAAGTCATTCATTTGACGTGTTCTTTAACGTTTCCAGAGTTCACTTTGACAACTATTGTGAAATCCTAGCGCTCTAACCTGACCCACCTTTTTATTCTTTATATGGAGAAAAGTTTTGTTCTTTTGACTGTCTAATGTATTCATTTTGGGAGCATTTACAGAATAATAAATGAAAATTCCAAAACTAAGAAATAAAAATTTTGCCTGTGTCTCCCTTTAAAAATACTGGGAGTCTTGTTAATGATCTCACTCCGAAAGATTTTAGGTTTTTGATTAAAACATGTTTTCGATGTATCTAACAGTAATGCTACATCATGGATCAATTTAAAACTACTACATTAAATATCTAGTTACAACATTAGTATCTCTAAACCTATAACACACCATAGTAACAACAGCATGCCTTCAGACAAGAAAATAAACAAGTTTCAAACAAATAATATGTAGGGAAAGCGTTACTAGTTTTAGAAATACTAGTTTTAGAAATACTGGTTATGTCAATATTCATAGTACATTTGATAATTTAACACTAAATATATTGTATGATTATTTTCTAATCATATTTTCATTTTATAACTAACAAAGTAAAGGCTATTTTAGAATGATTGTGACATTTAAAATAAAAATTTTGCTGATAGTGCCTTAGTTAAGACATAGGCAATTTATCTAAATACTTAATGCCAAGATTACAACTACCACTTTCTTAAATACAAAAGAATGTTATTTTTTTTTTAAACATTCAGTCATCTGGAGGCATGCAGCATCAAGTGTAAATATGTATTGTATATACACATATAAAGTAACAACAACAAGTATATTTACTTCATGATCTACCCACTATGACTTGACTGGAAGACATTATTATTTAGATATAAAAATCAACTTCATAAAATATCTAATTTTCTTTTTTTTTTGTATGTAACATGTTGTATTCATTTAATATCAACATTCTTACAGCTAATTATAATGTTTACATTTTCATATATAATATTTTGTCTTAATTTCATTTTTTATATATCAAACCATTAATTTGCTGGTGGTTATTAACCAGTACTGACCAAGATCAGCCAGTACTGACCATGATCAGCCAGTACTAACCAAGATCAGCCAGTACTAACCAAGATCAGTCAGTTCTGACCAAGATCAGTCAGTTCTGACCAAGATCAGCCAGTTCTGACCAAGATCAGTCAGTTCTGACCAAGATCAGCCAGTTCTGACCAAGATCAGCCAGTACTGACCAAGATCAGCCAGTACTAACCAAGATCAGCCAGTTCTGACCAAGATCAGCCAGTTCTAACCAAGATCAGCCAGTTCTGACCATGATCAGCCAGTACTAACCAAGATCAGCCAGTACTAACCAAGATCAGCCAGTACTAACCAAGATCAGCCAGTTCTGACCAAGACCAGCCAGTTCTAACCAAGATCAGCCAGTACTGACCAAGATCAGCCAGTACTGACCATCAGCCAGTACTGACCAAGATCAGCCAGTACTGACCAAGATTGGCCAGTACTAACCAAGATTTGCCAGTACTAACCAAGATCAGCCAGTTCTGACAAAGATCAGCCAGTACTGACCAAGATCAGCCAGTACTGACCAAGATCAGCCAGTACTGACCAAGATCGGCCAGTACTGACCAAGATTGACCAGTTTCTGACAAAGATCAGCCAGTACTAACCAAGATCAGCAAGTACTGACCAAGATCAGCCAGTTCTGACCAAGATCAGCCAGTTCTAACCAAGATCAGCCAGTTCTGACCAAGATCAGCCAGTTCTAACCAAGATCAGCCAGTACTGACCAAGATCGGCCAGTACTTACCAAGATCAGCCAGTACTAACTAAGATCAGCCAGTATCTAACCAAGATCAGCAAGTACTAACCAAGATCAGCCAGTACGAAAGGAAATCAGCCAGTACTGACCAAGATCAGTCAGTACTGACCAAGATCAGCCAGTACTAACCAAGATCGGCCAGTACTAACCAAGATCAGCCAGTTCTAACCAAGATCAGCCAGTACTGACCATGATCAGCCAGTACTAACCATGATCAGCCAGTACTAACCAAGATCAGCCAGTTCTAACCAAGATCAGCCAGTTCTGACCAAGATCAGCCAGTTCTAACCAAGATCAGCCAGTTCTGACCAAGATCAGCCAGTACTAACCAAGATCAGCCAGTATCTAACCAAGATCAGCCAGTACTAACCAAGATCAGTCTGTACTGACCAAGATCAGCAAGTACTGACCACGATCAGCCAGTACTGACCAAAATCAGCCAGTTCTGACCAAGATCAGCCAGTACTGACCAAGATCAGCCAGTACTAACTAAGATCAGCCAGTATCTAACCAAGATCAGCAAGTACTAACCAAGATCAGCCAGTACGAAAGGAAATCAGCCAGTACTGACCAAGATCAGCCAGTACTGACCAAGATCAGCCAGTACTAACCAAGATCAGTCAGTTCTAACCATGATCAGCCAGTACTTACCAAGATCAGCCAGTACTAACCAAGATCAGCCAGTATCTAACCAAGATCAGCCAGTACTAACCAAGATCAGTCTGTACTGACCAAGATCAGCAAGTACTGACCAAGATCAGCCAGTACTGACCAAAATCAGCCAGTTCTTACCAAGATAAGCCAGTTCTAACCAAGATAAACCAGTTCTAACCAAGATCAGCCAGCACTAACCAAGATCACCCAGCACCAGCACAGCTGTGCCTTCTATCATGGTCTGTGCTCTTTGCTATTCAGTAAGACTGATTGAAAATGATTACTGGTTTTATCCAGACAGAAATATGGACAAGTCCAATTATGATAATTAGCAGTGAAATAAATTCTTGTTATACATGTATTTAAGACGTTTTTTACCCTGATCATCATGTTCTTGTATAATTCTTACAATACTACTTGTGACTTGTGTTTTTTCAATATGAAGTACCTAAGAATATATGTAATAATGATAATCTAAATACCTTGTAGAACTCACCAGAGTTACCTTTTGATCTGACATTTTATAAATTAATTTAGAAATATGGTCAACAAAAATCATGTTAATATTTAGGCATACTTTTCTTGGAAATCTAGCAAAAATAAAATCAGATCTTTACAAAATACAAGCATTTTAATTTGAAGAACAATGATTTGTGATCATGTTTTGACAGATCTAATGTGACATATTATAAATCAAGTACAGAAAACACATAATTTTTAGCATATGAAGGTTAACAGGATCAATGTAAACAAACATACCAGAGTACAAGTAAATACAACAGAAAATAATCAGATATTAAAAGAACAACAAACATTTTGGTTGTTGGAAATATTAACAAAAGCTAGACAAAACAAAAAGTGGTCACTGACAACATAAAGATATACTGTATTTTCGTTAAATTAATCATGTCAGTCATTAAATAAATCATGTTAGAACTTGAATATTAAAATGTACGTATATGAGATTTTAATTTTAAAACACTAAAATTGAGCTATAAAAAGTCAGCATTTAGTTGCACTGTATTTATGTACAGGCTGGCCTAGCTGTACTCTATTGACATAGACTGCACAAAATTTATGTACAGGCTGGCCTAACTCATAACTTAAACGTAAACTGCAAATAGTTTTATGTACAGGCTTGCTTAAGGTATACCGGTTGAAGCAGATTGACTGCATGAATGTACAGACTGGCCTACTTTTACATTACTGACATAGACTACATGTATGTACAGGCTGGCCAACATTTAAACTATTGACATAGACTGCAGGTCTATACAGGCTGGCCTAGTTCACTGACTACATGAATGTACAGACTGAATGCAAAGGCTGGCCTAGCTCTATACTTTTGACATAGAGAACATGAATGTACAGTCTAGCCTAGCTCTTTACAATTGACATAGAGTACATAAATGTACAGGCTGGCCTAGCTCTAAACTATTGACATAGAGTACAGGAATGTACAGGCTGGTCTAGTTCTATACTATTGACATAGACTACATGTATGTACAGGCTGGCCTAGCTCTATACTATTGACATAGACTACATTAATGTACAGGCTGGCCTAGCTCTATACTATTGACATAGACTACATTAATGTACAGGCTGGTCTAGTTCTATGCTATTGACATAGACTACATTAATGTACAGGCTGGTCTAGTTCTATACTATTGACATAGACTTCATGAATGTACAGGCTGGCCTAGTTCCATACTTTTGACATAAAGTACATGAATGTACAGACTGGTCTTGTTCCATACTTTTGACATAGACTACATGTATGTACAGGCTGGCCTAGCTCTATACTATTGACATAAAGTACATGAATGTACAGACTGGTCTAGTTCCATACTATTGACATAGACTACATGTATGTACAGGCTGGTCTAGCTCTTCATTATTGACATAGACTTCCTGAATGTACAGGCTGGCCTAGTTCCATACTTTTTGACATAGACTACATGTATGTACAGGCTGGCCTAGCTCTATACTATTGACATAAAGTACATGAATGTACAGACTGGTCTAGTTCCATACTATTGACATAGACTACATGTATGTACAGGCTGGTCTAGCTCTTCATTATTGACATAGACTTCCTGAATGTACAGGCTGGCCTAGTTCCATACTTTTGACATAGACTACATGTATGTACAGGCTGACCTAGTTCCATACTTTTGACATAGACTACATGTATGTACAGGCTGGCCTAGCTCTATACTATTGACATAGACTACATGTATGTACAGGCTGACCTAGTTCCATACTTTTGACATAGACTACATGTATGTACAGGCTGGCCTAGCTCTATACTATTGACATAGACTACATGTATGTACAGGCTGACCTAGTTCCATACTTTTGACATAGACTACATGTATGTACAGGCTGGCCTAGCTCTATACTATTGACATAGACTACATGTATGTACAGGCTGACCTAGTTCCATACTATTGACATAGACTACATGTATGTACAGGCTGACCTAGTTCCATACTTTTGACAAAGACTACATGTATGTACAGGCTGGCCTAGCTCTATACTTTTGACATAGACTACATGTATGTACAGGCTGACCTAGTTCCATACTTTTGACATAGACTACATGTATGTACAGGCTGGCCTAGCTCTATACTATTGACATAGACTACATGTATGTACAGGCTGACCTAGTTCCATACTTTTGACATAGACTTCATTAATGTACAGGCTGGCCTAGCTCTATACTATTGACATAGACTACATTAATGTACAGGCTGGTCTAGTTCTATACTATTGACATACACTACATGTATGTACAGGCTGGCCTAGCTCTATACTATTGACATAGACTACATTAATGTACAGGCTGGTCTAGTTCTATAATATTGACATACACTACATGTATGTACAGGCTGGCCTAGTTCCATACTTTTGACATAGACTACATTAATGTACAGGCTGGTCTAGTTCTATACTATTGACATACACTACATTAATGTACAGGCTGACCTAGTTCCATACTTTTGACATAGACTACATGTATGTACAGGCTGGCCTAGCTCTATACTATTGACATAGACTACATGTATGTACAGGCTGACCTAGTTCCATACTTTTGACATAGACTTCATTAATGTACAGGTTGGCCTAGTTCCATACTACTGACATAGACTAACAATAGATAAAATGTATATACAGGCTGGCCTAGCTCTTTACAACTGACATAGGCAAGTTAATTTTGCTGTTGGCACTCTATGGAGAGTAGGGGTACATTCACTACTACCAGAATCTAATACTAGTATCAGAACTTTTAAGACAAAGCTATGTATGGACTGAAATATTTGCACCCATGTGAATGGCAAGACATTCTCACCTTAACATGAGCAAATAAATAATTGAATTCAAGACTATTTATAGCCTTTTGATAACACATGATTTAATTGTGGCTTTAATTTTTTGTAGAATGTTCACTAAATTATTTGTTTTGCTGTTTGCCAAGCTGTTCCCGATTAGGATGAAGTAAAATCGACAGCTGCTTAAACATGTTGTGTGAAGTTCACATGAGTAAAACAAAATGAATGGTATCCTAGAATACTGATGGCAGTAAATAACTGTTTCCTATAACTAACACCTGTATCAATGATATGATCTTCCTGTTGCTGTTTTTAAGTAATTTATCTTAAAATTGTCATTGTCAGTTACAGATTTTCCTCTGAACATCAGTTTATTCTCATTGATTTTATATTTTCGGAAGCCATATGCTTCTATACGCTGTAATTCGCTGTACTTTTTACGTAATTCTATTGCTCGGTGTTTACCCCACAACTTCTTTATATTTACTATAACTTGATCAACATTCTGAAACAGAAAATACAGGTTACCTTATTTACACAATTTAATACAGTTGTAATAGCTCAGTATCATTCTAAAATATAAAATTTGCATTTAATATTTCTATTAAATAAACACTGATTGGTCATATAAAAGTATAGTACACAATGTAAATAGGTTTAACACAAAAATTGGCAATAATTATCAACCTAGATTTATATAAATCTTTGTGTTAATGCAAATCCCAGTGCATAAACTGCTTATTTGAATTTTATCTTTGCATTGCCACCCTACAACTAAATGTTTGCAAAAAAGCTAAATGGCTCTTCTTCTTTATGATAGAATATACTTCAATTATTATTATGAACCATATAAAAACTTCAACATCTAAAATATCCAACAAATAAAAATTCGCTGACAATAGTGAGAAATATCAGCGAACAGCATGGATCCTGATCAGACTGCGCGGATGCGCAGGCTGGTCTAGATCCATGCTGGTCGCAAACCCACTATGTTGGTTTTGTCATGACACGGCTCAATTATTATTATATACAGCAAATATAAAACTTACAAAGAAAGTTCCACTATCAAGTATAAGAGTAAGAATGTCCCAGAAAGATTTGTTCAAGTCAATATAAACAAGATTGGTGTGTGACATAGGTAGATGTTTCTGTAGAGCTTCCTCTAATGTCACTGGTTCTATGACACTCCGCTCATACCTGTAATTATAACATGTTCAATTAACAATTTTACCATTGACTTTGTATAATAGTTATTTAGAGAACAATCTATTTGTAACAGCTGGAACTGCTGGCTATAAAAGGTCAGGTCTAGACTTACACCAGCTGTACGGGTCTGTTATTGATGCAAGCACTAATAGGGTAACTGCCATTTGATCCACTGATTACAACAAGAGGAACATGATAACTCTTTATTTCTCATCAGAATGAAGTCGGCAACAACTTTTATATCATACTAAAACCAGCATAATCAATTATTCTCAATATAGCCTCAATAACCTTGACATAGTTACCTCTAACCTGATATACTAGAAAAGATTCATGCCTAAATATCTGATATTCAGTTAAAATAAAAATGTTCAAAGGCTAGGAGGAAAGAGATTCTAATAAGGACTATGACTCCAGAAAACGGTAAAGAATCAGGAAAAGTAAATCAAATCTATTTCAGTAACCTATGACCATTATTCAGGGCAAATATTGCTTCCAGACATAATATGATTGAATTTGGTAAAGGTGCACTAAAACATGTTTTGACATCAAATATTTAAACACAACGACTATAAGTCTGAAGTAGGTCCTTCACAATACGTGTGAAAATATAAGTAACCCTCAGAGTTAAGTCAATCTTTAGTTCAAGAGATATAATTTCAACATTTTTGGTAGATGTTCACTTGTTAAATTTTGAGCCAAGCTCATCATTTTCAACAACCTTGGGTTCACACTAGTACTAAATATCTAAATCTGTCTAGAGAAAAAGACAATATCTGCAAGAAAGTAGAAATTAAATTATTTGAACACAAACATCTCAGATACTTAACTTTGCATTATCAGAAGAAAAGTTGTTTCTGAAAAACAAGAACTGACAGATGATGTAAATTGTACGATATACATTGTATATAGCTTACTCTGGCAATTTGTGGGCAAATATCATTGATTGTATACAGTGATAATATAACTATGGATATCATGTGCAGGATTTCCAGCTTTTATAGGTGAGTGATGACTACAACTGTCCTGCTGAACTGGTTAACCTCACACAAATAAAGAATCTTATACATTCCTTACATTCCCCTATGGAAAGGATATAAAAACTTACTGGACAGAAAATAATGGACAGAACATACCTCCTATGTTTGACAAAGAATGTCACTTCACCCTGATTATTTGATTCTATTTCCAAGGTAACAACTGAACATCTGCTGTTAGGTATTGCTGTAATAGATCCTTGAACACCAGAACTTCTGTAATTTGAGATATTTATAAAAGGTCATCTTTTATGTTATTTCATACATACATATGGAATATAATATAGCAATGAAAGATATTTCATTTTTAAATGAATACGGAAAAATAATAACCAATAAATACATATAACAGTACACTGTTCTTTTCTTTACCTTAACCTTTCAAATAAAAATTACAATGAATGAATGAGAAATCAAATATCAGGATAAATGTACAAACATTATATCATAAACATGTACAATACATATAGCTTAAATATATATAACAGGATTCTTAAAAGATAATTGAAACTGATATTTGAATTTTATGAGATAATTTCAGTGCCAATCAAAAGTAGTGTTGCTGTTTTTGGAACATATTTCAGTGGAAGAACATTACACATATGAAGAGAAATTCAGCAAAAAAGCACACCATTATCAGAAAAATGTACATGATAACTGATCCTATATACATGTCATAAGTTTCAAATGAATGCTGTCTTGCATGTAAAACTTTAACCAAGACTTTTTTTTTATGTTCACAAAGGGCTATAATTCAGTCAAAATTCATATAAGGGTTATGGGCCTTGGACAGTTAACTATGATTTCGCAGACATGTATTAAGTTTCCAGTGAACAACTTCAGGAGTTTTTGCAGAGTGCTGATGCATGCAAAATTTCTATGTTCAAAAAGGGCCATTATCTTGCAAAAATCCAATCGAAAGTTATGGGTCTTGGAATGTGACCTCCTTTTATGATCTCAAATAAGTGTGTGAAGTAAGTGTGTGAAGTTACAAGCAAATATCCACAGTGGTTGATGAGATATGATGTTGCAATAGAAGTTAAACATAAAACTCTAACCAATGTTTAGCAGGATAGCCTCATTATTCTTTGAAAATCAAGCTAATATATTCACTCAAGAAGGCTGTTTCATTTTCACTTTAAGCTATACCAATGACATAGCCTTTGTCATTTTAAAAAAATACTGCTTTTTATGTTAGCTCAGTGAATTATATTGTTAGCTTACACTTAAACAACAGAATATCCTCTATAAGATAGCTTTCTCATCCAGCTTCATATCTGTAGTAATAATGAATTCATAACTACCTGAATAACACAACATGGCATGGTTTGTTGGGATTTCTGTCTACTGTATCCATACACAGTGTAATTACTGCAGCAGACGGTAAATTTACTTCAAGGTCGTTACTACACGAAGCTTCCACATCATCCATGTAGTCAAGCAGACGATCTTCCTCAAAACCTTCAGAACCTACAAAATCAATACATATTAGTTACAAATTACAATCATGTAATGCAGTGATAGTTTAAAAGACATTCATAAATTTTTAACTAACATTCTGACAAGTTTTAATTAAAACTTATAAATAATTAATCTTTTCCTATTCATTTGTTAACATTATTACATAAATACATTGACAGTACATGCCATCCATACAGTTAAATTATAAAGAGCAGCTAGCTTGAAATCATTAATTTCAAATTCATCCATTATACCTCATACGTAATGAAAGCTATTAAATTATCTAGCTCTGTTTTCATCTATTTAATCAGTTTTAGAAGTGTGCAACTCCAAACCGGTAAACATTTATTATAAATATAGGTCTGACTATGATTCAATGTTTAAACACAGTAAGAGTGCAGGGGAAACTTTGTAATCTATATATGAACATTGTCTGTACAACTACATGGACATTCAACAACATTGTCGCCAAGATATACATGATTTATCATTTCTTATAAACAAAGAATTCATGCTTTCTCAATTCACTTATTTATCACACAAATGGTTATTTAGAAAATATAACATTATGTCGGTAGAATAAATACACATAAGTGTATCAAGAATTACCAGTTTTTTGTATGATTTGCATACAATATGCATTGTTGTAAGATAATTTATGAGTTCTCTGTATTTATTGTTCACACATATGGTCTCACATCTATAATAACCCCTATCAAGAAGTTATATAAATCACCATTACCTAATTCAAGTATTGCTTTATATCAAAACCTTACCATCTATGGCAGGTGGAAAGAGAATAAAAGTTTCTGGCCCTGGGTCTCGGATCCACGACATATAGTAGATACAGGACTCCATCAGTGTCACCTGGAGGCACAGGGTGTCAGAGGCTGCCGTGTGGTACAAGCGGAATCCCTCATGATGAAATAACTCATATAATGCTTTATACCAACTGTATAAATAATCATCATCTACTTTATCTGAAATAACAACATGAAATAGCATTTAAATGTATTACCAGCAGTAGCCCTCCAAAATACACAAATAGATACAGATATAATCTATACAATAGCTTATAATATGTCAAAAGATAAACTTAATTAGAGATTTAAAATTAGATTTCTGCAATGCATACCAATTATCATGACTGAAAATTTACTAACAAAATGAGTGATTATTAAATCATAAGGAAGTCACAGAATTTTAATCTTAGTATGACATTAAGTTTCACTTCTTAGTGAAGAATGCAAATTGTTGCTGTTTTTTAATGTGAAGTTTCAGTTATATATAAAAAAAGAGGCATGTTACACATGGTTAATCTCTCTGGAAGAAGATCATGTTTTGTGCCATTAAAGAAAGCAGTTTCACAAATATACTGCACATAATTATATGCTTTACTGTAGAGAAAACAATTAAAAAAGATCAATATTCAACGAAAGACAAGAAGCTGTAACTAACGAACATATAATGAAACTTTAATTGAACAGTAATCAATCTATAAACTATTAGGTACAGTGAAATATGAGCCACGTCACGACAAAACCAACATAATTGGTTTGCGACAAGCATGGATCCAGACCTGCCTGCGCATCCGCTATCAGTTTCTTTACTTGTTATAGGGACTGTAAGCGAACAGCATGGATCCTGATCAGACTGCGCGGATGCTTGTCTGGATCCATGCTGGTCGCAAACGCATTATGTTGGTTTTGTCGTGACGCGGCTCATATGTATCTGGATTGGACTGTAACAAAACTATATACAGTAAACAAGAGCTGTCGGTAGGACAGCACGCTCGACAATTCTGAGTGCTTGTTAGTAAAAGAACCTTGATAAAGTAAAATTCTAAGTGAACAAAAGGGCCAACTTTTTCTTTTAATTCATGTTACAGTTATAGACCTTGGAGAGAGTCCTATAATGCTCTCAAAGAAGTGTATAAAATTTCAACTTGTTTCAAAGCCAGATGTCAATGCAATATGAAAATATCTTAGGTGGTCTGCAAATTTTAATGTAAACTATAAGTCAAAAAAAGGGGCAATTTTTCTGTCTAAATGCTTTAAAGAGTTACCTACTCCTGTCTACAGCTTTGGGTCATGATGGTGAACACGTGTGCACAGTTCAAAGCCATATGTCAATGGACTTTGAAAATATTTGAGGTGTTACAAAAACTTTAACACAAGAGGTTACGCTGACGATCGGGTGACTACAATAGCTCTACTTATTCTCATCGAATAGTCAAGCTAAAAAATGAAAATTGTCATGTGAAACTTAAACTTATCTACATGTTTATTTATAGTCAGAGATATAATTTCAACTTACCTTTATATTGTGATAGATAAAGCTTTAACTTTCCTATACATACAGTGAGAGACTTAACTTTAACTTAGCTATGTTTAGTGAGAGATGTAATTTTAACTAACCTATTTATTGTAAAAGAGAAAGCTTTAACTTACCTATATATAGTGAAAGATGTAACTGTCTAACACTGGTAAGAAGATGATCTTTGACTATATATTGTAAGAGTTCATGAGAGTGTTTCATGTCTGACAATGTCTCAATTTTTAATATATCTACTACAGGTTGTTTCAGTAGTTCAAACACATTATTCAAGGTTTGTGTTTCATAGGAATTTCTCCCAAAATCTGCAGGGTCGTTTGGCACAATTATGGTTTTGACAACTCTTGTCCTATTCTTTAAAGATGTTCTTACAAAGTCTAAGGATAATTTTTGATGATGGAAAATATACACTGAATATGAAAAGTTAAATGCTAAAATCCTCTCCAAAGAATAATCATTTGTTGGCCTAAAAAATGAAAAATAAGAAATATTATAGTCATACAATGTTTACATAAATTACTGTTTTAACTTGACTAAAACTGTTTATTGTATTTATAACTTGAAGCAGACTGTTTGTTTGAAAATGTCATAAACTGTTTTGAAATCATGAATTTTTCAACAGATATACAATAATGAAATAATGTTAACAAACACAAGAAAATCACCTATTGTATGCACCAGCAGCATGTTGTTTTAATAAAACTCACCCACACACTTGAAATCTTCCAGCATTACACTAATTTAATAACCAGCTACATTTTCAAATTTGAAGAAACTGGTTAATAAACATACAGTTAGTGAACACTATATAGTAAAACGAAATTACCATAAAAAAAAACAAATTGTATAGATAATATTAATTAGATTAACTTACCCAACAGAATACATTATCCTCGGACCTCCTAGCACCAGATTTAAACCTCCTGATTTCTCTAAGCATACTGGCCAGTTTGATACATTTACACCTTGTATAGTATTGTTACACTGATAATGATATAATGTTATAAATTTCAGCAATCTCCTAGCCTCGCTCCGCGCATCTGACAACACTTGTAGCGGACTGTAAGCCTCGTTGAAATACGTAACTTGTATGAAGGCTACTATTATGACAAGGGTGAAGCCTCCATACAACATCATCTTCTTCCGTTTACTAGCAGCCATCATGACTCTTTTACAGTAAAATCCAAAATGCATCAACTCTGCTAATAATCTCCTTACTGTTCAAATCAAGCACATGATAACATTTCAAATACTTTAATTTTCATCGTATGACGAAAAAGCAATTTCCTCTCAAAATCATATAAAATTCTCCCTAGTTTTCCATCATTAAAACTCAACATGAAACTTTTGGTAATTACTCTAATATGTTATCTGAAGAGAAATAGCAAATTATCTAATAACTGAACCACTGACAGCGCTGCACATCAATTAAACTCATTTAATCAATAAAAAGCATCACTTTACAACACAGAAACTTCTCGAGGCAAAACCTTTTACAGAATTACCAGTTAAAACATGGTAATTATGAGAAGGTTGTATATATATCCAGTGGTCTTCCTTTCTCACTCGGTATTGATTAGCGACTGACAAATTTCCCCAGTGACCAATCTGATGTGAAAAGTATATACCGTAATAATGAACAATACTTTCTATGTCACAGAAAACCGAATATAGTAGTAACTAGTTAACTTTCTAAATCACAAAACACAGTCACTATTGAACTTTCTACAGCACAGAACTGTGTCTACCAGTTAACTATGCTTTCTACATCACAGAACACAGTGTCAGAAAGTAAACTTTCTACATCACAGAAGAATTTCTTACATCACAGCACAGTCTCTGACAGTGAACTTTGTACATCACAGTGCACAGTAGGGGATTTTCTCCATCAACGAACAGTGTCCAGTAAACTCTACTTTCTACATCACAGCCGTGTCTAACTCACTTATTCAATTCACATATTGTCTGCCTTGGGTCAGCAAATAATTAGATAGACTGCATTGTTCTCCTGAAGACTGAAATATAAGATATATGTAAAGTATGAAGATTTATCATTATAGAATTATTCAGCATATAACCCAGTCATAATCTACATTACTTTTATATGATAACCACAGATTTAAAGTTAAACAGAAAAATCTTTTTTTTTTCTATTTTAAATCTAAGATAATCACATTAAACATGCAAATGCTCAAATTAAATCAATTTTGTGTAAAAACATAGAAGATACCTGTATAATTATTTCATTAAAATTGTGTGGAAAAGTGGATGTGACTCCCTTCTCTGATACTCTATGTTGTTCAATTTAAAGAGAAAAAAATCCATTTCGGATGATATTAAAGGAAAGAAAACATCAAAAATAACAAATAAAAATTCAAAAACAGAATAGAAAATAATTCCTGAAACATTGTCTAAACTGTAGTAATACCTTTGTAAGTTGCTGTTATAATGATATACTAAACAATAATACAACATACATGTATATATTTGTATACAATTTTTGTAATGTATTATTATACAATCATCACAATCAGAACTATGTACACAAACTGTAAAAACATTCAATATGTAGTTACTAAGTTCAAATAATTACTAAAGAGATGAGAATATATTGTTCACACTCACCTGAAACAATGTCATAATCTTTTCTAACTTAATGTACTAACTAGAATCAGTATTGCAATAAAATTCCATGTAAAAGGCACTATATAGTACAATACAAACAACCTTATTACCATTCTTAAATTGCTTTTACAACACAAATTATAATCATTATTGCTTTTCATATTATATCTGTTTGGGAGGAAAAACAACTTTTTCAAAATTTCTCCTTAAACTGACCTGCCTATACCTAAATAATATCCTTTTAAAATTTTCTTCTTGTAAAATAAAATATGTAATACATAACATCATCAATAAGTATTATCACTATGGTATGACTGTGTGTGCTTCAAACCACTGCCTGAATTCCCCTCTACAAGATGAAACAATATGTTAATTCCCCACATGTACAGAGGGAGAGCCCTGATGTATCGTGATACTTGTCAGTCACATTGATGTATTGAAATCTGTATTGCATTGCAATGTAGTGCCATTTACAAATTTCTTTCTGATACATATTTTGAGAACAAGGTATATATCACAATGGTAATGTAATGATGATACACTGAGAAATCATTTGAGCCCTCATCGCAAAAAGAATCAACAATATTTTTCTGTCAATTGATACAGATATGAACAAGGCAATCTGAAGGACATCTAAATCCCCTTCCGCAGCAGACATGAATTTTTACTTCTTGACCTTTAACCAACCATAATTTGATGTTGTGCCATGCATATCATAAGCACATTTGCTCATCACAAAAGTCTGTTTATATTTAGAAGGTAGACCTTTGTAGACCCTCTTATTTTGTTTGAATTTTTAGGTCAAGGTCTTTGTAACAATGGGTAATTTTAGACTTCATACATGTATATTGACAAGTTTCTTACATATTTTGTTGTATCATGCTTTAGGCAAATTGCTGTTCTGTTGACTTTAGTAATATGTCCTGTTTTACTTATAATACTTTGATTGTAACTTTATTGTATTATTTGTTATAGTTTTCATATTTTACAAATCATTCAGATGAAATTTCAAGGTCTGCTGGTTATGCTTCATGTATAACCTATACCTTAGGGGTAGCCACCTGGTTGTTGCCCTCTGTAGGTGATGCTGGTGATCATTCGTGCCAATTTAATAACAAAATTTAGTAGTTAAAAAGTTATGAAGAGGACATAAAATGGTTGACTTTTACCATTTGACCTCTATGTGTGACCTAGACCCTGGGGGTAGCAACCTGAATAATTTGCACTCCACACATCATCTCATTATGGTGACCATTTGCAGCGTTTTTTTCTCTACTTTGGGAATGGTGCCGGTACCAGACTGATTGGGAAAAAATGCGTTATTTTGACTTAAATTGGGAACTTTTTTATGCATTTTTTCAGCTACAAATAAGATTAGTTATCATGAATAAAGATAGCTAACAGCTTCCACTGTCCAGGTAGAACTATTGAGTGGTAATATAAATGAATAGGTTGGATTTAAGTGATTTCAGAGAAATCACTTGGTCTTGTGGGAATTTTGAACAGCCATTTTGGGAATTTAAACATTGGAAATTGGGAATTTTAATGTCTATTTTCTATTGGGAACAGTACCGTTTTAGGGTAGTAGTTATATAAAGAAAAAAAAACACTGATTTGCGCAAAATTTTCAGTAGTTTAAAAGAGTGGAGAGGTCCAAGTGGACTTTATCATTTGGCATTTAAGTGTGACCTTGACCTTGGGGGTAGCAACCTGGATCAACCTTGCTGGTAGCAACCTGGATGTTGCTCTGCAGATCGTGTCATGGTGGTGATCATTTGTGCCAAAGTATTAAATACCCCTTGAATTGTCAATAAGTTATACAGCGGACATGAAAAATGTTTTAACATTGGACCTTTGAGTGTGACCTTGAGGGTAGTGACTTGATTTTTGTGCTCTGCACATCGTCTCATTATGGTGATCATTTTTGCCAAGTTATTTTAAAACATTGCAGCGGATTAAATAATATGAAGAGGACACAAAAATTAATGTAAACTTTTTTTTTAACACTTGACCTTTAAGTGTAACATTGGCCTTGGACATAGCCCTCTGCACATCATCTCATAATAATGATCACTTGTGTCAAGTTATTTCAAAAGTTTTTAAGTTATGGAGCGGACACGAAAGAATTATGGTCGGACAGACGAAGGCCATTCCTATAAATCCCCTTACCGTTTTGCGGATGGGGATTTTAAAAGAAAAAAAGTTTGACTAACTAATAGATCAGTCAAGAAATTATGAAAATTTACCCTAAACATATATACATGTAGTATGTCTAGTGTCACAGCCATGCAGAAAGAACTGGGCTTGGGGTCCCTTGAACATCGCAGATTGGACTGTAGACTGATAATGTTTTATAAGATATACCATAACCTAGTTGCAATTAATCTCCCAACATATGTTCAAACCCCACATAGATTAACCAGACATATGCACCCCTTATCCCTACGCCTAATATAGGTATCCTCTGACTACTATAAGTACTCTTTCTTCCCTCATAGCATTATACTATGGAATAAACTTCCTTGTAACATTGCCACCCTGCCCAACTTGAGTCAGTTCAAACAGGCAGTGCCGGGTTTGCAGTACTAGTCTTTAACTCCCAGTGTTTTTAAACTATTTTATCTCTTACCATCTTGTTTCTATATTAACGTTTTAACCATGACTAGAATACATTTTCAGTCTCACCTTCCAAGCATGTTAATTCTTGGACTTTTATTTTTTAGCTTTTCTTTTCACCATTTACTAACAATCCGATGTGCACTAAATTCCTGCCTATAACACTCGTAAGAGGGGTTGGCAGTATCCAGAGATAGATAGTACATGTAGTAGGCGCAGACAAAAATATGCTGTCTTTACATAATTGACTGTTTTTACAGCTGTGATGACAAAAGAATCATCAGAAAGAAAAATGCAGCAAGCATTAAATTTTCTAACTTGAATTTACTCTGAATGATTGCATGCACAGCACAGATATTTTTAATGATATTAGAATATATAGAGACTGAAGACTGGTACGCAAGTGAACTATAGAAAAGCATTACACTATATGTCAATGTGTTATTGATATTACTATAAACATATTATGTTTTAAAAATTAGATAGTTTCAGTAAATTTAAGTACCATCTCACTAATTAATGTTTTTTTAATCAATAACATGGCACGTATTTTCGAACTGAAAATAATTTGCCCCACTGATGATTCCCCACCCCCCACCCCATGACCACTCAGCCTGTATTTCATTTGTGGATTTGTGGATTTTTGGACAGTTATCTTTTTACTTATAAGATTTTTCGATTAATCGTAACAATAAGCATATCCCTTATTCTTGAAAATGTCAATGTAATATTACCAGACCTGGGGATGATTACATTGATCAGTAATTGATTTAATTACAATTACTTTCTGATTCTATTGTAATTGATTACAATTGATTACTCAGACTTACCTCTGTAATCAATTGAATTACAATTACTCTAAGAGAGTAATTGATTGATAATTGATTACATTCAATGTAAAGTAGAATCCCTACTAATGACCATACCTGAATTAAGACCACCCCCTTAATAAGACTATTTTTTTACAAAGTTCTTTGTGTCAATTGTTACATGATCCAGAATTAAGAACAACCGCTTATCCACTTTTAAGACTACCTAATTCAGTCCAAATTCTTTGCTTAATTCTTAATTTGACTCAACTATTGAGACCACTGATATTAAAATCAACACCTATCTAGATCTTAAATTTGTTGTTATTATCTGCTTGAATGCTTTACATGACACTTAATTTCACAAGGTGTGAAAAACTGTTATTATTGGGTTATTGTATGAAATAAGGTGAGAAGGTAAATTTTAGAGTGGTTTAATGTTGCTTCTAGCAAATTTATTTTTTGTGAAGAATTATTTTTTATTTCATAGGTGATTTATGTACATCATATAATAATTGATATTGAAATCTGACCAAAGAGAATTTTAAGTTAACTTTTTTTCAGAAATATCATTATATGTTTTCCTCTCATCAGATATCAAAATATACTTTTATAGTGTCTTTTATATTGCGCTTGTAGCTTAAGATACATACTGTTGTTTATTTTTTCAAACAAAATGACTAAAACAGACCATTGTCATAAAGTATGTAAGCAATGATAAGAATGTTCACAGTTAAGACAATGTTGGTCCAGCCCAGATGATGGTCTTAATTAAGGGCTTTTACTGTATAAATGTAAAACAAAAGTTACACTGTATCATGTAAAATAATGGCATCATTTGAATTAAAATAGTTTCCTGTTAAATCTGAAAGTAATCAATGTCAATCAAATTGTAATCATGATTACTGACAGAATTTTAGCTGTAATTGATTAATTACAATTACATTAATCATTTTTGGGCTAGGTAATCAATTACATGATGATTACAGTGTAATCATGTAATCAATTAAAAAATCAATGATTACAATTAATGATTACCCCAGGTCTGAATATTACTATATTTTGTTTTGTTTTATGAACTGTCAACATTCACCTAATTGACCTTGATTTATTATCTTGTACAGTTAATCTCATGTTAATCAAGTTGAACACAACTAAATATATTTTTTCTACATTTCTCTATAATTATACGCCATTGATTCCATTATTATCAATGCTTTACAGGGATAATCAATTGTTGACATAACTTATAAATGCATTGTTGCTTGTGATTTGTGAAGAATTGTATCTAAAAAGCTCAATGAATACTCCAGTTACTACAGTATGACATAACAAGAGCTGTCACAGGAGACAGCGAAGCTCGACTAATAAAATACTGGACGCAGTAAGGAGGACAAAACTATGAAAGAAAAATCAATTATGTATAATTATGTATTAAGTTATAGTAAAAAAATAACATTTGTTAACATAAATTCCAAGATCAAGGGGAATAATTCTAGAAATAGTCATGCTAGAGTTATGGACCTTGCCACACAACATTTGTGTAATGATAAGATATATATATTTGAAGTTTGAAGTAGATACCTTAAAAAATAAAGAAGTTATTATATTTCTTAAAGAAAATCCTAAGTTCAAAGAGAGATAAATCTGTAAATATTGCTTCAAGAGTTATGAACATTGTCACATAAAATGTAATTGATGATAAGGAATAAGTATTTGAAGTTTAAGGTAGATACCTTTTAAAATAAAAAAGTTAAAATAAAAAATAACATTTTTCTAGTAAATAAATCTAAGTTTAAGGGGAGATAATTCTTGCAATATTGGTGCTAGAGTTATGAACCTTGTCACATAAGATGTGGATGATGATAACGTAAATATATTTGAAGTATGAAGTTGATCCCTTTAGAAATAAATTAGTTACAGTAAAAATAATATTTTGTATGGAAAATTCTAAGTTCAAAGGGAGATAAATCTGTAAATATTGGTGCTAGAGTTATGAACCTTGTCATATAAGATGGGGATGATGATAACATAAATATATTTGAAGTATGAAGTTGATCCCTTAAGAAATAAAGAAGAAACCGTAAGAAATAGTATTTTTTTAGGAAAATTCTAAGTTCAAGGGGAGATAAATCTGAAAATATTGGTGCAGGAGTTATGAACCTTGTCACATAAGATGGTAATGATGATAAGGTACATATATTTGAAGTATGAGGTTGATCCCTTAAGAAATAAAGAAGTATCAGTAAAAAATAGTATTTTTTAAGGAAAATTCTAAGTTCAAGGGGAGATAAATCTGAAAATATTGGTGCTAGAGTTATGAACCTTGTCACATAAGATGTGGTTGATGATAAGGAACATATATTTGAAGTTTGAAGTTGATACCTTAAGAAATGACAAAGTTATAGTGAAAAATATTTTACTGCACCAAAACTTTAATCTAAAATCTGGACGCGGACGCGGACGCCGACGCCGACGCCGACGCCGGGGCGAGTAGGACAGCTCTCCATATACTTCGTATAGTCGAGCTAAAAATTAATGAAAACTTGGTCTGCTTTGCTTTTCGTAACAGTAGAAAACTTAATAAATCTTCTAGATGTAGTTTCAATATAAATGACGTATTTCTTCATGTTATTTGTAGTTGCATGTACACTATAAATGACTGGGTTCGATGGTTGGTAGCAAGTGGTCAATTCATTTTTACTAATCATGCACTCCTGTGAGTTCACAATATAATACATGCCTCTACAAATGAGAACTTGGCTAAGTTTAACAAAAAATTAAAAACCTAACAAGAATTACAATAAATTGTTATTATTGAATTTGTTCGAGAGATGGTCCAACTGCTGATTGACCTTTTTGAAAACCTTAGCTAATCAACGTTTTCCGGTATGTTACGGATTTAGCTCTTATTTTACCGTTTAAGGTGAAAAATTTTATGTGTTTGAAAATTATCAATAGTCCTTTAATATCTATTGCAAATTTTCCAAAAAATTAATTGATTATAATGAAAATCAATAAAATTTTAACAGTCATAATGGCATCTTCCATAATAATTTAAATAAAGATATTTTCTGTGTAAACTTGTCAGAGTGTCCGTTTGACCCTTGAAATAACTCTTTGACCCTTCAAATTTCCAAAAAGCATTATTTGACCCTCCATATTCTAGCTGGAGGGTCAAATTTTGTTAACATCATGGGGATTTGACTTTGCAGTCAGTAAAACTTTGTCAAAATGACCCTTAGGATTTCATGGCTAGTGAACACTCTGCTTGTGTATCTACTTTATTTTCTGTACTGTATGGAGTTATTAATACAATGATATAAATTTAATAATTTTCTTACAAAGAAATTACTATTTTATTTCACTTTAATTCAAAAAAGGCCAAAAACATAGAGTTTATTATTACACTTCATAAGGTGAATTCCCCAGAGCTTTGTACAGAAAGTACAGGAAAACAGTGTTTAGCGTAAGGTTTTCGAATTTGTGAATGATGTAGGCTATACATTTTTGGAAGTGGCTAGCCGTACGGGCCCGTACGGCTAGCCAAAAGTTCTAGCAGTACGTGAGTCACGTACGTCTAGCCAGGACTCACTGTATTGTCTAGCCGTACGGCACTTTTCAAACTGAAAGTTATATGGAAGTCGAACATGCATATGTTATTTTGTGCCTCATGATTAGGATTTTTAGTTTTATTTGTATGAAAGATGAATTTTTGTTAATTAAGCACAATCATGCATCGAATAAATAATGATCGGAGTGGAATAAATAAAAAGAACATTGAAAAAAAAACGGTGAAAAGCAAAAATAATTGTATAATTTTCAAATACAGTAGATAAATATCGAACATAAAAGCACAATCAATTAATTAATTAGCCTTAATTTAAGCCTACCATAGAATTTTAAAATGCGTTTCACGGAACATGCAAACTTTCCTTAATGATGGACAAACTTCTATACCGATGACGCAATTATCAGAGCCCAACAACAATAAATTTTTTTTGTTTCATTTTAAAGGTGTCGAAAATTAAACTTAATGAAACAAAAAAGGGTTATCATCAAAATTTTGTAAACTATTTCAGTTGATGTTATTTAACTGCGACCAAACGCTATTTTTTCTCAACGTCTTAATTGAGATGACATTTAAGATCGATATTCGTACTTTTTTTTACTGTAGCCAACATGGCGATTAATCTCTAAAAAGTAAACATACGAAGACAATTGCTGTTTCTTGGTTAAAATCCTCGCTTAAAGTCATAAAATAACATATATGCATGTTCGAATACCATATAACTTTGAAAAGTGCCGTACGGCTAGACAATACAGTGAGTCCTGGCTAGTCGTACGTGACACAAGTACGGCTAGAACTTTTGGCTAGCCGTACGGGTCCGTACGGCTAGTCACTTCCTACATTTTTCAATTCAAATGGTTAAATGAATATGAAGTGTGGCGAATCGTACAGTACACTAAAGTTGAGGGAGTTATTATGGTTCAAATCATGAGCGGGCCAATACATTATATTACCTTGGTTTCAACTCAACTGCCGATACACACTCCAACAAATTACATGACTAAATGTCTAAAATATATTGTTTATTTGTTGTTGTTGTTTTTTTGTAAATTTATTCAAATTATTAATGCATCAACATTATTATGTATACCGATCCTGTTATGCGGGCATATCTTTTTGTTTGAATTTTTTTTTTAAAGAAAACAATAAAAACACTAAGAAAAGAATATCTACAGTTCTGTATGCAAAATATCTTGAACTGCACAACTGTCCTTATCTGTTTAGTTTACCAGTTTACTATACATGTATAAACTATCTGTTTATCTGTTTATGTCAAATAGGACGAAGCCTGCAAGAAACGTGAAGAAAAATTAACTTTGAAACATTAAAATAATAACTAATCTTCAAGATAAACGACAGCAGAAACTCACCATGAAAAAGATCCGCTCTCACTTTTGTATTTAGCACACAATGCATTTAACAGTTTAATGATGACAGATATTAGCATAATAACTGGAAGAGTGGCTTCCCTTTAATTAGTGACCCACAATTCCTCATTACAAATGTCTGCGCCCATGTTTCACATGTGAAATTTCAAATAAACATGACAAACTTACAACAATTAGAGGTTATAGTGCTTCAACAAAATAATCAATCATGTAAGTTTAATATTCTTTTGTTTTATGCACGTTTACTAATCGTAAAGGTGCTCTAAATTTGGTATTTCCATATATAAGAACTTGCAGTGATTCGGACTAATCAAAATCGGATAGGCTTTTAAAATCAAGTCCGCTGTCAAAATTTGTTGATAATTGTCCATGGAATAACATTCAATGCTAAATTTTGGTTGCTAAACCGAAAGAAATTACTTAAAAAATCTTCCAAAGAGCTAGACTGCTAGAGCTTTGATATTTAGCATGTACATCCTCTAGTGCACAGAATCATCCTGGGTGTCTACCAAGTTTGTTAAAATAAAATCCCTGGGGTAAAAACTTCGAATACTTGATGATTATTAATATGAAAAAGTCAAAGCCTCAAAGCGAGCTCGATTTTCTTTTAACATGAAATAGTATAAAATAATTGTTCATTTTTATTTTACATTTTCCATTTTAAAATTGTCATTAGGTGTTTTATACACTGCTTTCATTTATTCTGGTTCCCTGTCCTATTATGGTTCCCATATAAGTGCGCAGGGCACCAGTCAACGCTTATGTTTTCAAACAGAATACCTTGGCTTTTGTCCTCATCTTGTGATTCGAAAAGTTGCGATGTGTTAATTTGCTACTTCAGACAAAAGTTCTCAAAACCATCACTATCTAGCAGGGACTCTCGTTACCATAAAGCTTGCTTGCGAGCAGGCCCTTTGGGCCAGCTCCTGAGCTTGCTATTAATCCAAAAAGTTGTGATTGTTCCATTAGCGATTTATAAGTTCATAGTCATACTTGAACAAAACAAGACTTAGCATAAAATGGTCATGTTTAGGTGGACAGGTTTGCAATTTACAAACATTTTAATTGTGTCATAAAATTGACAATTATATTATTCTTATATTTGCAGGTGTAGACAACTCATCAAAATATTCAGAAGTTGTTAAAAAATTCTGTGATGGTCAATATGGCTTTGTTTTAAATCAAGATTTTGCTAAACAGATTTTCTCAGAGCACGGTGACACAAGAGCTTCTCTGGAATCATTGCTACATGAGAATATAGAACAGATATTACATGCAGAATGTGAAGATCAGTTGAAAGAAAGGTATTGAAACATGCGTCAGTATATTGATATACAACACACATTGTTATTCCACAAATTATAAGTTATAGGTACCTGTAACCAGTCATGTTTTATACAAAAATGTCACATATTTTGATCCTGTGTTTCATCAATACTTATTCAGAACATTTGTTTAATATTCTTACCGGATTGATGTTCTTAGATGATCTATGATGACTGGATACAGGTAACTAATAATTAAATCTGATTGAGCTGAATTGCTCATTGTCTTGTACGTATCATCTTTCATATGTATGGATATATAGTTTAAGTATTAAAGTTGCACATTATGAATGTTCAAGTAAATGCAATATTACATATGTTTCAAATCTTTGAAGTATTTTTTTTTAAAAAAATTCTCAATTATTTACGGTTCCTTATAAATTTTATATTTTTATTTTATGGAAGGACAGATAACAACATTTTATATTGACCACAGTTACTTTACATTGCATTTGAAAGAAAGAAAGTTGTTTGAATATTATGACCATCCTCTATTTCAGGGAGTTGGAGATTTTACTTGTTGCCGTGTCATGTCTACAGCTGTTTGTACAGAATAACTGGCTCGGACCACGGCCATCAAAATTCTGCCCATCACAAATACTACCACATCATCTCTGTGTAAGATTTTAGTTTTATTTTACATTGTATAATGTTACATATTTTTTAAAATTGTGTTTTTTGAGTCTCTATTGTGCAGTGGTTATTGTCATTAACTCCAAGTCACTTGCTCCTCACCTTTGTTTGTTTTAGTCCTTAAGAGATTTTTAATGTCTCTCAAGTAAGGAAGCAATTCTGCTAGGCTATGTAAAATTGTTTGGTGATTTTTTTCAGTTGTTCGTTTTGTCTAAAAATTTGCAGGTAGGACATTCTAGGTTTCCTTCAATCGTAAAAATCTAACATTGCCAGTTGAACTTAATAGATTTGATGTGACTAAAAACTCAACCAAATGAAAAAAGTCATAGAAATTATTGAAATAATTTAATTTACTTTATGCTTACTAATATAAATAGCTACTGTATGTTGTGCATCTTATAAGTTTGGAGATAAATAAAGAATAGATAGAATTTTATTCAGATAAAATTATTAAAGCTCCTAGAGTCTACACATAATATTGCCCAATGACATAAGTATATAAAAATATAAATATTTGAAGAATAATGTATATTTCAGGGTGAAAAGATTAGTGTATTTCTAGAAGATGAACTCAGTATAGATGGTGAACCTATATACAGCCTTGCTGCATACCCTGAATTCTTATACATTGCTAGATTTTTATTACTTGAATGCAGGAATAGATATAAACATCTTCAGGTAAAATTTATTATATTATTATTTATATAGATATATGGAATATTATGTTGTATATATAAGGGTTTGTATTTTGCTACAAGCAGCGGCGGAAAATTGATATCACACAAGATCAAGGTACAAGCAAGATATCAATTTTCCCACAAAATACATGGCCTTATAAGGTACTACTACATAATTATCCTTTTATTATATACCTATATTGTTTGTTTTTTTAACAAAAAGAATTTCAGTACACTTCTATCAGAAACTAAAATATAGATGTCAAGAAGTAAAATTCATGAATGAGGGATGAATATGTAATTTTTGCGTAAGAGGTCACGCCTTCAATAGTTTTTGTTCCTGTTTCCAAATGCTACCTCATACACAGCTAAGATGGGAACCAAACTGAAAAATAGTCGGGCACTTTCATATATGGTACCGTATTTTGTCATTAACATTAAATGGATTTTTCTAACCATTGAAGTGTATTCACACTTCAGGATTTGGATACATTTTAGGGAGTACATTTCATAGGTATATGATAATAAAATTTATTATGTTGTACTAACAGTAGTATAGCTGTAGTATTTGAAGCTGGTTGATGGTTACATGGACTGAAAGGCCACAGAGAATGTTTTATCATATTCCATGACAATGAAAACATTTTTAGATGCCTTTTATAATATGTATTCTCATGAAATCTAGCTATGTCAAGCACTTTGCCCTTGCTTCATTTTTTAACAGCCTGCCACATTTTTGTAATCATATTTTACCATATAAGTTTGTAGATGCCATTATTATAACATTCCTTACTATAAATGGAGTATTTTCCTTGCGTAGATGGTGTAATTATTTTGTGAAAATAGTCTACACTGTAGAGAGAAGTACATCATCAATATTAATCTTGTTAATGTATTCATGAAGATGTTTATAAAGTTATGGTAAATGCATGAAGCTTAAAGAAAATGAATTGACTATAACAGTTTTCTAGAGTATACATGTAGACTTGCACCATCTTTATATTTTCTGAATAAAAAAGACTGTTTTCAATGTAAAATGTTAAATATTGCATTTTAGTATTTTGTAGTGTTATAAAAATACAGATAGATTATATTGCTCAAAGATATATGGCTGTATGCTTATATAGCATTAGGCTCCAGGCAAATATATGTTTTATTACATAACCTGTCCACAGTGTATTTTAACAAATTTTTCATACTGCACAACTGATTTCATCAATTAGAAAAAAATCCATGGAAAAAGTGTATAAGTGTAAATAAATATAATGTATGTTAACATTACAAAAACAAAATCCCTAAAGAACGCCCAAAATGGCAAACTTGAAAATGTTGCATGCTTGGTTTGATTGAGCCTGTTCATGGACGGTACGTAAAATTTCAAATTACCATCCACAGCCCCCTAGCACTTTGAAGGAGAATTCAACATGAAAATGGTGAAAATTTGAATTTAGAAATATCTATGTGGGGGCACCCTTGTCCTATGGACACATTTCTAGATGAAAGTTCAGTAAGTTATTCATTAGAATAGGTATATGAATATTGGTACAATATTTACATAGCTTACAGGACTTTGGAAATGACTGTGTATCATAAAGAAATGGCTTGTTAAGCAACAACTTTAGACACTTAATTAAAATTGATTGGCGTAATTACAAGAATACTAGATATATTCTCTTCCTTTATATGAGAATTATTCAAATAAAATATGGACTATACAATAAATTTGGCAATGGCTTTTTATTTTTGATCAACATACAGGAAAACTTTAAGATATAACAGGTAGACATGATTACCTTTATTTAATTGTAGCTTAAAAATATACATGTATTACACTTAAATTTGATATTTGAAAATTACAAAGATTTGCTGTACAGTCTCTTTTTTAATATGAAGATAAACATATTTTCCATACCCACACAGAAGATATGTTTTAAACTTGACACACTATAGGTAAACACAGTATAAATACTAAGTCATTGTGAATAAAGAAAGGGCCAATTAACTAGACCAGTAATAGGGAATATAGCTTCCATAATGTAGCTTTTGTGTTCTTTAATTCAAATAAGTTAACTTCAGTACAAATTTCGTAGATTTCAATAATTTTGGCAATAAAAGTTAAAGATAGAGCATAATTAGACAAAGGAAATATTATCACCTGTAAATGTTAATACTTTATTGCTTGATTAAGGCAGATTATCATTTTCCTAGTCTTCTTATCTATATTTATGAGAAAACATTTTTTCTAAAGTTTTTTTTAGTTTTTTAACATATGTTTTATCGTTGAATTTTGGGAAAAAAAAACCCTACTTTTTAAAATTTTTTAAAAAAAAAATAACCCCCAAAACCCATTACACCGTAGAAAATTTTATTGGTAATGTAAGTGTTTTTGGAAAATATTGAAATTCAAGTTTTCTTTTTAAATTTGGGTTCAGTCTTTGATGTATAAGCATAATAACATGTATCACAAATGTTAATCACTGAATGAAACTTTCACATACAATTATTACTTTCTATATCCAGATCTATATGCATGTAGTATATAAAATGATTTATTTTATTAAAGGTCATTTAAGGTCATAAATTCGTACACTTGTATGGCTTCCAACAAAAAGCTGATTGTTTGTGTGAAAAGCACATTGAGCTTTCACATCTGGAAAAACTTGAAGTTGGTTACATTCATTAGACAGTCTATGAATACAGTTATTTCCTAGTCCAGTACTGCATACATAAACATTGTCTTCATCATCAGCTGTTACCTCCCAGGGTTTTATAAGATCCTTGTCCCTGTATATGGTGATAAGTTGTCCTTCCAGTGTGAAACAGGTCACGGATTCTTTACCATAATCAGAAACATAGATAGTTTTGTGATTTTTGCTGATTGCTATTCCATAACAGCTAGTAAATAACTGTTTACCATTAGAGTCAGTTTGTATAGTTCTTAAAACTGTGCCATCCATGTCAAGAATTTCCACAAATGATCCTTCTGCAACTATAAATTTGCCATTGCTGTATACTATAGCAAAACATGTCATTTTGGTTGATATTGTGCGCTCTTTGTTCAAAATTCCAGACTTTGAAATTGATAAGATTTGGATTCCAGGCTGTATACCCACTGCTATTTTGTCCTCATTTATTTTAGCCAAACTCCATGCAGTTTTTTCCAGTTTAAGTTCTGAAATCACAATTTGTTTTCTCAAATCAATTACTTTAATGGTACAATTTGGTCTGTCTGCAACAATAAGAAAATATTGGTGCATTAATGTGACACCAACAACATAGGGAGTTCCTTGGTCATTTTCAGTGTTTGCGAATATTTCTTTGTCAAGTGTCAATGATTTCTTATTTGCAACTATACAGCTAGTTGTAGTAGAGACGGTATCGGAACGATTTGAAGGTTGTTCGGAAGTTTTGTTGTTTGATTTTGCTTGTAATTTTGGTATAACAGTCTCTATTCTGCATATCTCAGTTACCTTTTCCATCATGTCTTTTATTTGAGGAGAATGAAGAAGTTCATACTGCAGTATTTTTCTTTCTTCCAATAAACTTCTTAATTGTTTTTCAGTTATCTCAGTATTCCTAGCTGATTGTTTCATAGCTATAAAGGCTTCACAGTGTTGACCAGCTTTCTCTTTAATATCAATCTTCGTTTTCAGTTCTTTAAGGTCTTTATCCATGGTATTGTATGTTGTACAAGTTTTAGTGAAGGTGGTTGTATTACTTGCATGTATTTCATCAATTTTGTTCTCCATTTCCTTCTCAAGTTTATCAAAGAATTTGTTAATTTCGTTACGTTGTTTATTCAGCTCAGTTTTTGCTACCTTTCTCATATCATCTGCTATAGCTGACATTGAGTTCAGTGTATTTCTATCATCTTGAACTTGCTGTGAAATGACATCAATTTTAGTTACATATGTTTGTAGATCATCTGTGATATTTATAGCCTTTACAAGTTTTGGAATGTGTTCCACTTTATCACATTGCCTATGATTTAATGTAATGCATGTAGTGCATCCAAGCATGTCACATGACAGACAGAAATATTCAATGACCTTGTCTACATGAAGGTTACATGTTGAAACACACACATCTTGGACAGATGTTTCTTTCACAGTTTGAGGCATAGTGTGTTTATCCTGAAGAACATGGCTCCTGAAAGCTTTAAAAAGTTTATGATTCTTGTAACATTGTCCACAGAGATATTCCGAGCAGTCCACACAGAAACCTTCAGCCTCCGTTTGTCTTCCATCTTGTTCACAAGGTTCACAAAAAATAACTTCTGCTTCATCAGAACCTCCAATAACAGTCCTGCTGTGATCCATACACTCAGCCATTTTATCTGTACTACAATTTAAATTATTTCAGTGATATTTAAGTCAGTGTGTAAACCTTATGACCTATTATTGATCGAACAGTAAACAGTATTGTAAATATTAAGGTCAGGTACCCGGATTAACACTGTATTATAGAAAGGTGTTTAAATACCGTAGAATACACTGACATTAGTTGTATACATGTATATGATAAACTTGTAGTTATGCTGACAGTTTCTGGTAATAGATAATATATCATATTTAACAGATTTAATAATAATTTTAAACATTATGTGGTCTGATACCACTTATCATATGATTGTTGAATTATTTGTTTAAGCAGCATCCTTGCAAAGTTTTGTTAACTTTTGTGTAAACTTTAAAGTTCTTTTTATGAAAATGTTGAAAAAAGGATAAATAAAATAATTTGAAATAATTAGCCTCAAACACTTAAAGATGTTTCCTACAGTAACTTCATTTTTACATAGGCCAAGAAGGAAAAAATAAACTAGCAAATAGAATTTTTATTTAATTTCACATGAATAAAGAAACTTACAATGAAAACAAATATATAGGGAATACCTAGGGGTCATGGTCCTATTTCTCTGCCTCTTACAGTGAGCATTTTACACTTGTAGGCTATTTTCAAGAGCAGATAACTTAAAATCAACCATACCAACATCATATTTAATTTCAAATTATTCTTCAATAGTTTATTTCCAGTCATTTTGCAAAGTTTAAGACAGTTGTATCCCAGATACATTTTGTTATGCTTTAATGTGTAAACCTGCTGAAACTTTCGTAGAAAAGGAGTGTCACGGGTGAGAAAAATGTGCAGCCTGACCGGGACTTGAACTCGGGACCCTCGGAATACCATACCTCGGCTCTACCGACTGAGCTATCCGGCCGCTTACACATCTTCTCCCCTAAATAGTAAACAGTTTTGAACCGTGACATACTCCTCTGCTATATTGAAATTCGCCCTCGAATTTCACAGAGTTACAGATCAATGTAAATTAAACTCTGAACTATATGTAGTCACTGCCCCACGTTGGGCGCCAAATGTCACAAGGTGAGAAACATGTGCAGCCTGACCGGGACTCCAAACCGGGACACATCTTCTCCCCTAAATAGTGAACAGTTTTGAACCGTGACAGGAGCATAAACTTGAAGAAAATGTATTATCATGTTGAATATACAACTACTGAGTTTTGAGCCTATTATTTATGAATGTTAGACTTGTAAAGTGTTAACTGATTTGCACATGTTTTGTATGATATATTTCAGACGTTGAACTGATTTGCCCATGTTTTGTATGATATATTTCAGACAGTAAACTGGTGGCAGATGAGATGTATAAATGTACATCAGCAAGTTCTCGACAGCAAGTCAAACACGTTGAGAGAAACTGTCATACAACTCATAGACCTAAGTATACATTTCTTTATTACCACTTTTGTTGCCTTCCAAATATACAATCAAGCCTATACCACTCTGATGCAAACAACCATTTGTGTTATTTTTTATGACACCACCAAAAGCAGTCAATTAATATTTCCATTAGAACAACATAATGTTAAGTTCTAGTTTCAATAGGTCACCTGTTAACAAAGATCATTTTCAGACTGGTCTGTCTTACATATTTTAGATCTACATGTGTATGTTATAGAATAACTGACTCTATGTTCTTGTAATTATGTAAATAACTTGTTTGTGTATAATGTTTATATTCACATGTGTTTAAATAATCAGGCCTATATTAAGATATGATAAATCAGGATATGTAGGCATAAGAATACAGAAATAAATAATTATAACATTACCATGCTTTTGACAGTAATTTGTTGGAGCCATCTGTTTAATTAAACAGTATGTTTAAGTCAAGGAATGGTCACCTTGTTAATTTTAAGGTTTAAAGTGGTTAACTTTGCTGATTACTAATACTTTCACACCTCACCATTTCTAAAATAATACCAGAGATGTTTAAGTCATTTCTGTCAGGATGGTATTTACCTAGCATTCAGAGGTTCAGCAAATTCATCTTAAAATCCCTGTTTACTTTTAATAATGCATTGACCTGACATCGTTCTCCTCTAGTAAAACTTGGATATTGTCATATGAGATGAGGAAACATCTCACCACATAGAAAGATAATGTTGTTGGCAGCACTTTACTCCTGAGATAATTCTTGTTTATATATTGTTTTATTATTGTTCGCTCAAAACAACAGTCTCAAAATGACAGTTAAGTGTTGGTTATTTCAGTTCAGAAGACGGAACCATTGATGACAGATGACAGGTACAAGTAAGTAAACTCTTGCTACATTTTGTTGTTTCTTTTACTTGTGTATTCTATACTTCTATTGGAATTGATGAGGATTTTATGGTATACCATTTACCTGCATAAAGCATATCTAGCTTCTTTATATAAGCAGACACATTGCTCTTTATTACAGGATATATGGCTGTATGTCTGCAAACATAGCTGTATGTCCAATGACTAGCAGTACAAATACAGCATTGAGCTTACAAGTATTCAATTAAAAAGTGAATTTTATTAGTTAAAAATAAGTTATAAAACAGGAGAAAAAAATTAAAGTATATACATGCAGGTGCTGTAATAGATTAAAAGCAATTAAATTCTATAGACTTTTTTTGTCTATTATGTTGAGCATTGCATTTACTAATATAGCAGTTATATAAATACATGTAGTAAGGTAAGAACTTCAATTTGAAGATTAATGTTTGGTTGAAATCATAGTTATATTTTAAGAAAAATTTTATGATCATGATTTTAACATCTACATATTGCATCTATTTATATGATATTTAAAATGTTCATGTTTTTTACCAGGGATTTACAGGTACAGTTTCATGTAGAGGCAGGTAACCTAAGTCATGTGTTCTACAGGTATAGGGAAGCACATGAACACTTCAACACAGCTAAGAAAATTGCTGATATCAATATTCAACTCACAGGTAATTTGTTGGGTTTTTTTGGTTTGTTTGTTGTTGTTTTTTGTGTGTGTGTGTGGGGGGGGGGGGTGACCATGTTAAAGGCCTATTTATTTTCAAGAAAAGGATACATACATAATAACTGTAGCATTTTAGCATAATGTAAAGTTATTAACTTCAGTGTTTATCTGAACATGAAGTAGAGAAATAGAATCCCTAAAGAAAGTCCAAACCAACAAATTGGAAAATGTTGCAGCTTCTGTTTGATAGAGCCTGTTCATGGACAGTACTGGCATAAGTGGCATTAGAACATGGTGTGCTTTTGTGATCACCTGATGCAGATTTTCATGCTGTGTATAATTATCAACAATTTCTTATTATTGAATAATATTTTTGAAATCGCTAGAAACGTTTTTAATAAACTCCTTTTGGATCCGTTACAGGTTCTGGCCTGATGCTTAAGTAGGACATAAAAGCCAGACAGATTTTTTAAGATGAAACCACAAGGACCGGTTCTTGATATTTTGCAGATAGCTTTACCCAGTTGCTTCTCTGCAATTTTTTAAAACAAATATATTCCTTTGGTCAAAGTTTGTGCTAGCCCAATTTTAGTTTTGCTGTAGAAACATCTGCAATAAAAGTGATTAGAATCTTCTCTGAAATTAAAAAGGTCAAGAGATAAGCTATTAAGCATTGCCTAGTGGTCCTTCACATATATATATATGTATAAAAATAGGGAAAAAATCTTTAAAATCTCCACTTGTGATACTGCATGAAATAGTGCTAATGTAAATGATAAGCACAAACTTGTGCTATTGTGAATGGTAAGTAAAAGTATCTAGGTGACCTCTGCAAAAGTTTCATAAACCATGCATTTTGTCAACTGTTTTTCATGATGTAAAATTTTAGCAGTATTTTCTGAAACTATATAGCTTTAGGTCTTGATATTTGATATGTAGTATTGTCTATTGGACATTCAGAAAAGTAGTATGAATTGTTTGCCTAAAGTATAAAATGACCCCATTCTTCAAGTCACTTTTATTACATTGATTTATTTAGGGATGAGCTATGTAGCATTATCTAGTGGATATTTACAACCATTACATAAATAATGCCCCTGGGGTGAATGGCCAAGCTCAGGAATCATCTTGACTTCTTTATATAGGAAACTCAATACATGTATTTAAAAGTTATTTACCCTTAATTTAGGTGCTATGGGTAAAAGAACAAGGTTCCAGGTAGATGATAAGGCTCAGTTATTACTGGAAGTCACAAGAAATTCTGTTAGTTCCTCAGATGTAGACTGTACACAAGTGGAGGTCTCACATACTAACTCCAGTCTTCCAAAGGTAGGTTCCCCTAGTATTTACTTGAAAAGGTTTTTAAAAAAAAACCACTTTCAGTGGCAGTTAACTCAAAAAGTAGTATGATGACTACTTTTATTTCTATTATGCTTCTCTTGAATCATATGAAGTTTGAACTTCATTGCTTTGGAAAAAAAACTATGACTGGTAAACATCTGTCACAGGGACAATTTTTATCAAGACAGGTTCTACTAGTTGTTATGTATATAGGTCTTACACATTCATCTTATATCGTGGTCACAGTCTAACAAAGAACACCATTCTTGTCATGGTTAATGCTTCCTCTTACTTAATGATAATGTACTCAAGTGGATGTTTAAATGTGTTAAATAATATTGTAATGTATTGATATATAGAGAATAACATGCTACTGTCTTTTGATATCAATTTTATCAGGCGAGGCTGATATGGGCTAGAAAGGGTTTTTCTATTTATCTTGTAACACATACAAACTGTCAAAGTTACAAAATAATCTACTTTCAAATAGCAAATTTCGTAGACAGGGGCATTTTTGTTCAAAGAAATTATTCTTAAAAAGGAAATTCCTCCGCTACTAAAACTTAGAATTTGTGAATGGCGGCTATTTTTTTGTTTCGACCCGAGATTATTTCCTGTGATAAAAGATACAACAAAATGTAACTCGATAAGATTCTTACATTTTAACATCAATCAAAAAAAGTCCCTAAGAATCACATAAACATTACTGCCACTTTTTTCCTTGAATTGCCAAATTCAAAAGTTCACGATAATTTCAATCTTAGAATACAGTAGTCAAATCGGCTATCAAACACAAGCTACATAAACATGCGTCTTATTATTTTAACGAAACAATTTGTTCACTTATTAAATGATTATCTGGCGAAATAAAGTAAACATTGACAAGTTTTCAAAGAAAATTGTCTTGCCTGTTTGTTATGTTTATATGTATAATATGACGTGGACATCGATAATGTCATTTGCAATATAAATTATGACGTCACTCTTAACTATTCGCTATCTAATTAATTCGTAATTGAAATCAAAATAGAAATAATATATAATTATATAAATATCGCATCTTGATTCAAGACTTGTAAGGGTTTGAGATAAAATTGTAGAATTCACATGCTGATAAAAATGAGAATATATTTGAAAAAGTCTGTTTAAATAGGTGGGGCTTATTTTTGATATCAAGTAACTGATCTGATATCAAAAATAATTATCAGGCAAGTGTTATCAGGCGGTTACCATAGCAGTTGCATGATAAATGTTACTTTTTGTTACCAACAAAGAACTGTTCTATTTTGATTATGCAAGTATAATTGCTGTCCTTTAAGGTTGACAATTGGAGAACTAAAAGTTTTACAGTTGTCATAGTTTATAAGGTAATTGACTACATTAAGAATACTCTATGTTTTGGTGGCTGCTTAAACAAGTGTCATTATGACAGAAGTCTGTGAACAAAGTTTTTATAAGAAAATTATCAAAAGTGCATTGTCATACCTTGAAATAAAACTGTAACAGGGTAACATGTTTGGACAATTTACAGGACCTGAATCTAGATGATGACACTATTCTAAATGCTATCAGCTTTACAGATGGGGATGTAAAATCTACCCAGGTATCTGCAACAGAACAGGCTCTTATTCTAGGAGTCATGTAAGTTTATCTTAAACTGTTATAAAACCAATAGAATTATACTATTTTTTAATAGAATTCGAACAAAATATTTGAATTTTCATAAGGAAGTCAGTCTGATACTAGGTATTCACCAAATATCAGGAAGATTTTGACAATGATACTTGGATTTTAAAAGCACACAATGTTATTTTTTAGATAAATGTAAATCTGCTCTTGCCATAAATGTAGAGACTTGATTATATGTTTAGGGAAGATAAGATAAATGTAGATCTGCTCTTGCCATAAATACAGAAATATGATTATACTTACGGAGAAGATAAGATTAATGTAGATATGCTCTTGCCATAAATGCAGAGATATGATTTTACTTACAGGGAAGATTACAGAAGAAGTCGGGCAAGTCATGATGAGTTAACAGAGGAAGAAGTTCAGGCTTATCTAACAGTAAATATTGTCCTATATAATTTATTATATGCCTGTAAACATTTCGGCGTATAATGTTATGCACCTGGTTGTTAGTCGGTCATTCTGCCTGTTAGCAGGTTTTGTGTCCAGTCTGTATCTTTTGACCCAGTGCAGGGAAATTGAAACTTCTTGACAGAAATGTTAACCATAACAAGACGATATGCAGAGCAAAGGTTTGACTTTTCTCAGGTCAAGGTCAACCTGAATCATTTTGTATCAATTTCAAAATTTTGTGTCCACTCTATATCTTTTCAACCGGTGGAAGGAAATTGAAACTGCTTGACAGAAATGTTAACCATAATGAGACCATGTGCAGAGTGCAGGCTTGACCTTCCTGAGGTCAAGGTCATAACTAAATCATTTTGTATCATTTACAAGTATTAATTTTGTGTTGAATAGAAAATTTGAGAGTATTATTTTAGACTGGATATTTTTGCTTCAGATAAAGGTTATCATGAAAATTGAGATACATTGTACCTTGTTTATTTCAGTATGTTCTAGGTCAGATGAGGTCATGGAGTGTAGGTGTGGCAGGGTTGCTATTGAGGTCAAAGTTAGAGAAAGGCAGCAGTCGGAGATTAGAGAGATCCATGAGACAAATTGAGGTTTGTTTATGTCTGCATTCTTTGTTCTCGTATATCACAATGTGACAGCATAAAAACAGAAATCATTGTCAAACTTGAATTTATGTTTTTAGACCACTTAGGGAACAGAATTAGTAAATATTGTATCTTTAATAAGGTAGTTCTTGTTATTTTCACATGATATCTATTTGTCCATTTTCAACATTGAATCTCAATGTAATTGAACAATGATAATCAGTGTAAAGCAAAATACATTTAAATTTAAGGATATATTTCTTTTCCATCATTGAGGAGTTTAAACCCCTGTTTGGACAAGCTAATACAAACAAAAATTATTCATATTTTTTTTTATTCAAATGTTATTATTTTCATGAAACAAAGTAAGTTTATGTGTTATTATAGAAGTTTCATTATATATGACTATTGTACAATTTGTTTTAGTTGTGATAATTCATGGACTGTATTTCACATGGAAATTTATGGTAAATATTTCATATGTATATATAAATTTAAACACCTTAAAGTTTTTTCTAGAGTGTATAGTATATATATATTTTATATTTTATATTCCACTTGAAGGAGTTGTTTAATCAGACAATGAGGGAGGAGCCATCTGCAGGTCAGAGGTCACATCTTTTCTACGCTGTAAAGATAGTTCCTGTCTGGGATATGCAGGTGGGCTTTCTCTTATAACAGTAGATTATCCAAATACTCGAAATAAAATAAAATAACTAACTGTGCAATTATACTTCAATTGTATTTATTTCATACATATGTATAGCAATATCATATATAACGATTGAGCTTTCAATACCTTACTCCAAATTTGATAAAAAATGATTCTATTAAAATATTATGGAATAATTTTGGCCGCTCAGAATTGTGTTCGACCGAAGGGCAAGCAGGCGTGGTACATGCACCATTGTTTAATACGCAAGTATAGCAATGAACAAAAATTATCATACAGTTGTCCACCAATGAGGCCATCACAATCGGTCCAAGATTACCGTAAATGATCCCGACTTGAAGATCTTATTCACCGTCTGGAATAAACATGACGCGTCAATCAAACCAACCTGCTCCAATTAAGATGATCACGCCTGCCTGCCCAACAGTTGATAGAATTTTCAGGCCACAATAAATTTTTGAAAATTTATCCCCCAAACTTCTATCCACACAAGATATTATTTCTAATTAAAGCATCCCTGAGGTAATCAAGATAAAATTCAAGGCCAACGTCATTTAAATGAACTCCATCCGGGCGGAAAAAACCAGTTTTAGCATCAATATCAGTTTTAATTACGTCACTTTTACCAGATGAACAGACAAAATAACGGCCAATTCCATTTATACGCTTACGTTTTTTCTCCATGGCAACCCACCCAGAAGTTGCACCCGACCAAGTTTGCCTTTGAATAATGTGAAACCATATAATAATGGCATCAGGTAAAGCTTCACGAAGGTAGTTTATCTCTGATTTGATTAATTCTTTTAAAGAAACAAGGGGTAAGCTCACAAGATCATTTCCGCCTAAGTTGATAATAATAACTGATTGAGGTGTCGATAATAAAACTTGAGCTTCAATTGACCTCCGGAAATGAGTCCAACGCAGGCCACGTTCACCCCACCAAGCAGTATTGCACCTCAACCGAAGATTCTCCTTGCCAGTATCTTGTGCTCTCTTTCCAGCCCAAAACGGGATTGAATCTCCCAAAACCCACACATCTAAATGTAAATGCATAAACTTAATTATGAAACGAAAGTTATTTCGAATAGAAAAAGACAATGTTCAATTGATTTACAGGGCACCTACTGGCGAATATATAATCTATAAGCACCAGAATTCCATCTACCCAATTTCATGATAACTGACGAACTGAAACCTTGACGTGCTAAATCAGTAGCCCTTCCTATCCGAAAACTATGTGATTTAAAACATAAATCCGTACAAACTGTCTTGCTAATACATTTAGACAAAACTGCCGAAAATTGAGATCTAGTAACAGGTGTTAAATTGCTATGACAGAAAAGAGGACCTGGTGAACGAGGCCTTAAACTTAAATATTCAGACATGGACCGGACCGGGTACAATTTTCCGTTCTCACAAGGAATCTTCAAATATGTTGGGATACCCATCTGATTTGTCTTGTATCGACGTAACTGAATGATGATATATTTTATATTATCGACAAAAGATAAATCTGAAAGGCTAAGCATGTCGTCACTGAGTGAGCTCACCAGTTCGCTTACACGAAAAAGTCCGAAGTAAGCCAAAACAAAAAGAGCTGAAAAAAGTTTGCACTCATAGTTGTTATAACATACTCCTGGTAGAGTATTATATACGGAAATTAAGATCTGCATTGTAAGTGGAGCCCGGATATCACGACAAGGATGACCTCTTCTACAAACCCTTCTAACAATTTCTAAATTTCAAAGATATTTAAAAATTAAATTTCATTTTATAAAATAATTTAATCCCGAATATAGGGGGAAATTTTTTTTGAAGGGTTTTTTTCGAAAAAAGCCTAAATAAAAAATAAAAGGAAAGGCCATTTTTGGGGAAATTTAATTTTGTTAATTATTAAAAACATTTAATGCATGTTTGTTAAAAAAAGAATTTAAGCTATTCCCGATTGCCCATGTCTAGTTGTACTAAAAACTTTTGGAATTTTGGGAAGGGAAAGGATGTTTGGTCTGGGCCCCTTTTGGAATTTGGGGTTTAATGAAAGAAGAAAAAAGATGGTATCTTTAAGTACCGGTAAACAATGCCGTTAAACATTAAACGGGAAATTTTTTAAAAAATTCCCCTACAACCCCTTTACTCTATTGATTTGACTTTGCCTTATTTAAGATTGAACTACTGAAAAATTAATCACAAAATCTTTTTCTTATTCCTAAAATGATTGCCCCAAATGAATAACGAAACAAAGATCGGAAAAAGTTCTAAAACGGTTATGTCTGCAGTAATACCAGATTTATGACAAAATTCCGGCCATTTTGCCTGACTCCAATGAAAATAGATACCTTGAAAATAGATACCGAACCCTAGATTGTCACCGCTAGCACTGTCTGAAAATAGCTGTACATCTTCATTAGACACCTAAAATTTGTCATGAAAAACTGAAATACCATTATATTTTTTTTTAAAAAGCTAGCCACATAAGTAAATCCTGTTTTGTATCTTTTTCAATACGAACATGTAAAAAGGCTTACTAAGCCCACACATTGAATTAATAAGCCGGTGTAAGAATGGTCTACCTGCAATAATTGCCCGGCAGAACCTATTAGTGACTGGAATTCCTTCACAGTGCACTTTTTTCTACTCAAAATGTACAAAATTATATCAATTATTTCCTGAATTTTTGGCATGGGTATCAGAACTTGCATTTTGTCCGAATCTAATTCTAGGCCTAAAAATATCTGACATTCAGTTGGGCCCTCAGTTTTATCCATGGCTAGAGGAACTCCCAATTCAGTCATGGTGTCCTTGAATATTTCTAAAGCCTTGTTACAAGAATTTGTTGTTTTATCTCCGCCCAAAAAATCGTCAAGATAATGATTTAAATTTAGATTTTACACAAAATTCTAAAAACCTAGCAAACCGTTCAAAAGTTACACAGCTAATTGAGGCCCCGAAAGGTAATGCTTTATCAAAATAATATTTATTTTTAAAACAAAAGCCTAAAAGCTCAAAATCGGAGGGATTTATTGGAATTAAGCGATAAGCGCTCTTAATATCTGACTTAAAAAGTTTACAATGGGGACCTAACTCTTGTACCATCTTAACGGCCTCGTCAAAACTTATATGTTTTTATGAATAATAGCTGGCCAGATAATATTTACATGGTATTGGCAAAGATCTTTTTTTTGCACCACAAGAAGGTTTTAAAAATACATTTTAATTCATGTGATTGTTAAAAATTGTACATTGTTAATAGAGACCATGAAACTGTAATTTTACAGAAACAACTAGCTGAACTATTGTTGGCACTGGGTGCTATTGGTTCAGCTTTACAGATCTATGAGGAGCTAGAGATGTGGGAGGAAGCTGTGGCCTGCTACCAGAGACTTGGTAAATCTGAAAAGGTATTATACTCAACATCACTAATTCCGCGTCATCACTTATTTCATGGTAATGGCATATTTTCATGTGACCAGTGTTAAAATTGGTCAGAATTGACATATTTTATTCTTACACCTATACAACAAAGTTTTTGTGCAAAATATTTTAAATCTCTAGGTTTTACGTAAAATAGAACAACATTTTACAGATTTCTGCAAAATGCAATAATAGTCCATTAAATCTGTGCATATGTCTGAAACAATCATCATTTTCTAAATGTTCTTGTTTGTTGAAAAAATAAATTTTGAGTGACAAAGCTAGGATGATTTCAATAACATGTAAAAATTTGAACTGAAACATGATAAAACTGAAATGTAACACCATTACCACGATTTAAATGATGACATACTGTTTTCAAAATAGCCGACATATGGTCTATGTTTGGTCAATTTAAATTGAATTTGACTGAATATATTGTTGTTTCCTAATGCCATACAGCAGAAAATAACTATATGTTATAGCTTTTAACTTTTTTTGTGTGGCCTTGAAAAAGGCGACATATACGGGGTTACTTTTGTTGGCAGCATTGTTGTCGGCGTCCCTTTAAGCTTGTCCAGAGCATAAGTCAGTCATTGACTTCAAACTTGGTATGCATGCTTCTTATCATGACTGAAGTGCAGTGCACAAGAACGGGAACTCTGCACTTCTTCATTTTTGAGTTAAAATTTCATACTTTATTTTTGTCCGGGCCATTTCTGCTAAAGTATAAAAGCTATGGACTTGAAACTTCATAGGATGATAGATCTCATTAAGAAGAAGTGCACGAACCGGTACTCTGCATTTCTTATTTTTTTAGTTATTGCCCTTTGTTAATCTTCATACTTTTTTTTTGTCCAGGCCATTTCTCCTAAAGTATAAAAGCTATGCACATGAAACTTCATAGGATGATAGATCTCATTAAGAAAAAGGGCAGTGCACAAGAACCAGTACTCTGCATTTTTTATTTTTGTGTTATTGCCCTTTGTTAATTTTCATACTTTTATTTTTTTCTGGGCCATTTCTCCTAAAGTATAAAAGCTATGGTCTTTAAACTTCATTGGATGATAGATCTCATTAAGAAAAATTGCAGTGTACAAGAACCGGTACTCTGCATTTTTTATTTTTGAGTTATTACTCTTTATTAATTTTCTTACTTTATTTTTGTCCAAGCCATTTCTCATAAATTATAAAAGCTATGGACTTGAAACTTCATAGGATGATAGTTCTTATTGATAAGAAGTGCAGTGCTCTGCACTTCTTATTTTTTTGAGTTATTGCCCTTTGTTAATTTTCATATTTCATTTATGTTCTGGCCATTTCTCCTAAACTATGTTGTTCACAAGGCGACACATCCGACTCGCAGATTAATCTGGCTTCTCTTATTGTAAATTAAATTGCAAATCAAGTTTGTTGAATCTATGTAATATTATATAAAAAAAATACTAGTGCTATTTATGTATAATTATTTCTACAGGCAGAGACAGTGATAAGAGAGCAACTTGCTGTGAGAGAAACTCCGAACTTGTGGTGTTTCCTTGGTGATATAACACGCAATATTGAACATTATGAGAAAGGTTGGGAGTTATCTAAACATAGGTCAGCACGAGCTCAGAGATGTATGGGATACTTGTACTTTGCTAAAGAACAGGTTGGTCTATTTATACATGGAGAGTGCAGTAAGATTTGTACAACATACCTTTAATATTATTCAGCTAAACATGGAATGCTTGTACCTAAAATATAAAAGAAATAAGAGCACCGTAGGGAACGTGTTACAGTATCGCGTTTTTCGGTTACAGTATAGAATTTTCAAGATGGAGGATTATTTATGGGAAGAGAGGTAGGTGATTTTATTCAGGTCCATACTACTAGTAGTGTAGTTTCTAAAAGATGTTTCTGTGCTTTGCTTGTTAGGAACAGAATCCGGTATCTAGTCATATATTTCTTCAGACCCTGCACCGCAGATTTATCTCTATATTGTCACATAAATGTGCAGATTTGACGGTTTAAAAATTTGAATCGAGAGACCAACGCATTTTTCTCCCATTCCGACATTATTTAAGCATGCCTAGATAAAGTAAGTCTACAGAACGTTAGATCTTTATGTTTAGAAACGTTTATAAAAGTAAATGACCAGTTGAACCTATTTTCCTGTTGGTAAAATGCGTTTGAAAAAATAAACAATGTTACAGTATAGAGCGAGGTTAATTTTGAAGGGTTACAGCATAGACCTAGCGACTTTGATCCAATTTTGTTACAGTTTATACCCAGATTTCTGTTACAGTTTAGATACTTGCCAAATTTCAAACAAAGTTCGTGTATCCATTATTTTTATGAAATAACTCATACCTTTCTATTTAATATATTCTTGAAAGGTTGTATTACTTTTTTTCTTCAGCAGAAAAGTTATAGTTTGCTATTTTTCTTACTTTAAGTTTTAGATTGAGACTTTTTTGCCCTAAGTAAGGACTGTTTTCACGACAACAACAGTAACTTTTATCGAATTGTAATGAGAGAAGAAAGATTATTGCTTGATTTCATTACACATTATAATAATGCCTATTAGTAATAAAATAGAGAAAAAAGAATCCTTAACAGAAGTCCAACACGGAAAACATGAAAATGTTGCAGGCTCAGTTTGACTAAACCTGTTCATGGACGGTAGTGGTAACTGCAAGCTACCGTTCACGCCTCCTAGCACCGACTTCAGCATAAATCACATTAAACATGAACTGGTACACTTCAGATTTTTTAACATCTGTGGATGTGTTCATATGGCGGTTATCATGGATCCTTCAATGTGACACGTTATTGCCATTCTATGAAATGCGGCATATTACCCCCCCCCCCCAGGTTAAAAATTGCGTGTGCCCTAAACGAGAATACAATGAGTGAAACTAAACAAAATGAAATTTTGAGAGGGTATCGGAGGTTATGAAGCCTGCATACCATAGATAAGCTGTCAAAAGACACAATTAACAAGCAGGCAATACCCTAAGATGATTAAACAGTATTTAACTGAGCAAAACTGCAACCTTAAATTCTATTTTAAGTTGGAATTTCCATCTATCATAATGTATTTTGTAAGTATTTAAAAGGGTTTATGAACATTTTCAATTTTGTTGTGTTGGAATTTCTTTAGGAATTCTGTTTAACTCTATTTTGTTACGTTTGGCTTTCTTGTATTTTAAGTTTCAACGACACTGAGGTTATGTAAAAACATTCCTGCTTTAGTGTAAAGAAAGACCCCAGATACCCTTTGTGAAACATTTCAGACACGAGCGCCTGACTTGAACCACCGACCTTCCGTAAATTAGTTTGATAGATTCCTCACATACAAAGAATCCAAAGTCATGATTGGATTTCAACTACAGCAGTAAATGAAAGATGATTTGATATGGAACGCCGTGACTGTCTTACGTGACCATTGTTTTTGTTATCATGTGAAACGATGATATTATTTTGTCGTTTGAGCATGTTAACATGTGCAATTTGCATCATGTCTTGTCAAAGAATCATGCTGAACAAGTCAGCGTGGTATTTTGAAAAGATGTAAATTGCACATGTTAACATGCTTAAACGACAAAATAGTATCATCCTTTCACAAAATAGCAAAAACATTGATCACATAAGACAGTCACGGCGTTCCATAATTTGAAGTCGACGGCCTTATCCCGACTCTGCCACTATTATGTACCTCCATCAGGCTCACTAGAGAGGATATTGTAATTGTCTGACCTTAATTTATACTCTATAATTTTCAATATTATTTTCTTTTTCAGAAACATGAAATCTGCTATACAGGATGTCTGAAATAAAAAAAAAACGACTTTTAATTTTATAATGACAATATAATCGTAACTTCAACAAAGAAGCATTCGAAATTACGCCATGATCATGATTTGATTTGAATGCTTTTGGTTCGAGATGAGAAGGGTCTTTAATTAAACATTGCCTTTTGTCAAAATCTATGTTTTGGGTTTTGGTATCCCCGATTGCAACCGAAACCATTTGAACAACTTAATTGGTAGAAAGTCATGTAAATTTCATCACATTTAGTCAAGTAGTTAATGAGCGGATGAGATTGCACACACATGTGTACGACAGACAGACGAATAGCCATCGGGCCAATTAGCTCACAGAGATTTAAAAGTCTATGTAACATTCATACATTTTACCTAGTATAATTATATAGAAAATATCGAAGTCTAAACTGTAACCGAAATCTGGGTATAAACTGTAACAAAATCGGATACAAATCGCTAGGTCTATGCTGTAACCCTGCACAAATTACGTCGCTCTATACTGTAACATTGTTTATTTTTTCAAACGCATTTTACCAAAAGGAAAATAAGTTCAACTGGTCATTTACTTTTATAAACGTTTCCTAACATAAAGGACTAACGTTTTGCAGATTTACTTTTTCTAGGCATGCATAAATAATGTCGAAATTGCAGAAAAATGCGTTGGTCTCTCGATTCAAATTTTCAAACTGTCAAATCTGCATATTAATGAGACAATATAGCGATAAATCTGCGGTGCAGGGTCTGAAGAAATATATGACTAGATACCGGATTCTGTTCCTTACAAGCAAAGCACAGAAACATCTTTTAGAAACTAAACTACTTGTAGTATGGACCGGAATAAAAATCACCTACCTCTCTTCCCAACAAATAATCCTCCATCTTGAAAATTCTATACTGTAACCGAAAAACGCGATACTGTAACACGTTCCCTACGGTGAAGAGCATCAATGTTTATCTGTTAAAAATTCTAAATTAAAAAGGGGCATAACTCTAACAACTGCATCTTGTCATTAAATGCAAATATTTCAAGTTTCATGTTGATATATTTTAAAATGTTTGAATAATGTGCTACATTAAAGTTTTGCATTAAAATAATGTCAATGACAATGCTGCAGTGATTATAATAACTTGACTTTTTCTTCGAAAAAGACAAGCCAATACAGTAAATACTCTTGACCTTCTGAAAACGTAATCCTTTGAAAACTGGACAATTTTAAAAAATGGAAAATATTATGATTTTGTTTGGATGATTACCTAAAATTTCATTGACGGTAAACAGAAAAACATGCCTTTTTGGCCAGAGTCCTTTAAACAATAGGATTCAAAATATATCGGGCTTTCTTTTGTTTTAATAAATGTGCTTTTGTTTGACCATGTGTTCTTAATTGATGGTTATGGTAAAGATTGTTAAGTGAGTGTTAAAATAAAGTCAAATCATGTCTTAACATATTTATTTTGATCTTGTTTTTGCTTCTTTACTTTATATTTATAACATTTATTTTGCAAAATAAATCAAGTTTAGAACTTACTAATATATTCATAATATTATTGACAGGCAAAATAAACCACAACTTTTTAATTGGCAGATTCTTGAAAACTGCAAATATAGCGAAAATAAAAACCGCAAATCAATTCCCACTATACATTAGGTCACAGGAGATAAAAATATATGTATTATTTGTGAAATTACAATATCTAGAGGTTAGATATTTGGCATGTAGCATTGCCTAGTGGACATCTACAAGAGTTATGAAAGTAATACCCCTGGGGTGAAAATTGGCCCTGCCCTTAATTGAGGTCAATTGTTCATAGACTTGTTAACAGTTAAGTATATATGTCTTAAAGCCCCATTTTCCTAAAAATAAAACAAAACATAAACAACTTGATATATGTTCAATTGGTAAGTTTCATTTAGAGTGAAATACTGTTTGTTTGCCAAAATTTGACTTAGAAACTAAGATATTTGCATATGAACATTGACCTTAGCTTTGATTATTTGAAAGTTCTGTTTTAACACTGTAATGTTAAATTAATGAAACAAAAGACTTGAGGAAATGTTGATAAAAGTGGTGATGATAACATTTGTCAGTATGTGTTGGTCTATATTTTATATATACTCGTATACATAAAATTGAGTAACTGTATAGCTTTGCACTAAAAATATACTTGTACCATTAACCTGACTAAAGTCTCAGTACAGAACTTGATGTTAACCAGGTCATATACAGATATGTATTTAAAGGTTTTAAGAAAGGATGGTGTTAGATCATGAAAAAAAGATTTTGTATTTTATTTATCCAGTATGTATTATTGAGATGGTACTCTTTTTCAGTATGCAAAGTGTTTAGAATGTTTTGAGAAGTCTCTGAATGTTAATGCTCTACAGGTAATAATATAATGATGCTTACTTTAAAACAATACCTTACATGTTGTTTATTTTGTATAAAATGTTTTCATTTTGATATATAATCATCACTAACTCTACTGCTTCATGTAAAATAAAAATGTTTTATTTTATCATATAATATCCATTTGAATTAAATTACACATTACTTGTTGAAACTATTTTGAGAAACAATAACATGGATATGGTGGTTATATTATTGAGCAGTTTTCAAAACGTTTCACTATTCTCAGGTAGTTGATTATTTTTATATGATTCACATTTATGATGATACTTCAAGTACCTGTTAACCGATGGTTAATGATTAGATAACAAATGAGCCGCGCCATGTTAAAACCAACATAGTGGGTTTGCGACCATCATGGATCCAGACCAGCCTGCGCATCTGGGCAGTCTGATCAGGATCCATGCTGTTGGCTATCAGTTTCTCTACTTGTAATAGAGTTGGTAAGGGAACAGCATGGATCCTGATCAGACTGCGCGGATGTGCAGGCTGGTCTGTATCCATGCTGGTCGTCAACGCACTATGTTGGTTTTGTCGTGACACGGCTCAAATATTTGTGATAATTTCTCAGGTACCAGTTTGGTTTACATATGGTTGTGCAGCAATGGCAGCTAAAGATTTCAATCTTGCTGTGAGAGCATTCCAAAGATGTGTGAGCATAGATTATGATGTAAGTTTATAAGCTAGTTTGTTCATGTGTAAGGTATATCCATTTGTTTTAGCTTAGTAAGGATTCAGGGCATGTCATCAGGCTTACCCTTTATGAGAAATGAAATAATGTAATGAGAATTTATCTCTGTATGATTTTAGTAAACTTAACTATAGAAAGTGAAATACAGATTTAAAAATAGATACAAAACTGTATGTGGCTTACTTAACACTGATTGTTATAAAAAGTGGAGAAAAGCCAGTCATTCACCTATTATACTGAGTGCCTCAAAGTACAATCTTTTTGCAATGTTTTAAATGTATTAGGTAATACAAAGAGAATTCAGGCCAAAGCAATTTAATCAGTTCCAGCCCAAGTAATGGCCCTGTAAATATTAGTTTTAACTTGTGGTACCTCAGATTTACCTGGAAGAGCCCAAGTTTATCTGGTAATGCCAAAGTTTTACCGGTAGAACCCAAGTTTTACCTGGTCACTATAATTACAAAGTTGCTAAAAGACAGAACAAAAATACATGTATATCGTCTTTGCAGGAATGTGAATAATTACTTTACTGACCTGTTTTTCCTGTTACTTTTAGAATTTTGAGGCATGGAATAATCTGGCATCCTCATATATAAAACTAGGGAAAAAGTAAGTACCTAAATTTCATTATTGTTATCATATTAAGTTCCTTATATTATTATGCCTCCCTTCAAAGAAGTGGGGGTATATTGCTTTGCATTTGTCTGTCTGTCGGTTGGTCCGTAGACCAAATGGTTTCCAATCAATAACTAAAGAACACTTAGGCCTAGGAACTTCATACTTGGTATGGTGATTGTTCATGACCAGCAGATGACCCCTTTTGATTTTGGGGTCAAAGGTCAAGGTCACTTTGACCTTGTAGGTAAAAACGGTTTCCCATCAATAACTTAAGAACGCTTAGGCCTAGAAACTTTAAAATTGATAAGGTGATTGTTCATGACCAATAGATAACCCCTTTTGATTTTTGGGTCAAAGGTCAAGGTCGTATTTACCTTGTAGGTAAAATGGTTTCCGATCAATAACTTGACAAGCCATAGGCTGTTGGCTTTCAAACTTAGTAAACTTTGTAGGTGTCTTGATCTTGGCAATAGATGACCCCAATTGACTTTGGTTTCAATAGGTCAAAGATCAAGATCATAATTATTAACCTTTTAGGTAAAATGATTTCCTATCAATATTTGACAACTAAAGTTGCCTTGGTTGATATTTTTTATTAAACTAAAAATGCTTTTGGTATACACATTTCAAGGTCTTATGTAATATAACAAATTGGCTGTCATTAAGAAGGCATATATGATTCATGAAAATTATGCATATATTATTGGTACCATTTGTGATATTTTTGTCATAAAATTGCTGCACACAACCTTTACAGTCACAATTACCTAGTGACTAGTTATGACCAGTAGATAATCCCTTTTGATTTTTGGTCAAAAGTCATAATAACCTGACCACATGACTAATTGGCTGCCGATAGGGGGCATGCATTTTTTACAAACATACCTTGTTAAAACTTAACTCATAGCTTCATAGCTTGTCAAATAATGGAAATTTAACTTGGTCTTAACTTTGTATGGTAATAAGTTAATTTTATTTTGATATCCAGATACTAAAATTGTGATGACAAAAAATGGTTTGGTCAGATTTTATATACCTGTATGTGCGGTCTTGTCTTATTGTATTCTGATGGGATAGACATTACTTATTGCCATTAGAACTCAAACATAGAATAGTTGTGAGACTTGTTTAAAATGTCATTGATGTGTAAGAATACTGATAATATTGAATTATTAAGAGAACACCTGATGATTGCATGTTAGTTTGTTGTGTTAGAGTGACAATTATTTGGTCTAAAAAACAGTTACACTAAAATAAATTATTCCAGTACCTTTCTCAAGGGTACACGTTCTCGGGAATTTATATTTGCGTGAAGTTCTGTTTTTTTGTACTCCTGAAAGCACTCATGTTCTATGTAAAACCAATTGAAATACATTGTAATATTAGATTCATGGTTTTCAGGTTTTATGAAATTTTTAAATTGCACCCATGTAGTGAGTTTCTGGTCTGAATCATAACTTGAAGACTAATGGTTTGAATTCATTATATATTCATGCAATGATGAAACACATTAGCAGGAAGTGCTGTGCACAAGAACCATAACTCCATCTTAACTTATTACAGAGTTATTGCCCTTTGTTACTTTTGTCCAGTGCATAACTTGAAAACTACTGGTTGGAATTCAAAACAACGTCATGCAATGGTCAAGCATAATAAGAGAAAGTGCAGTGCACAAGAACCATAACTCTATTTTAAGTAATTACAGAGTTATTGCCCATTGTTACTTTTCCATTGCTTTTTTGTCCAGAGCATAACTTGAAGACTAATGGTTTGAATTCAAAACAACTTCATACAATGGTCAAGCACAATAAGAGGAAGTGCAGTGCACAATAACCATAACTCTGTCCAGAGTAATTTTTGAGTTATTGCCCTTTGTTACTTTTCCATTGCTTTTTTCTTGTCCAGAGGATAACTTGAAAACTACTAGGTAGCGCAGTGCAAAGTAACCATAACTCTTTCTTGACTCATTTAATAGTTTTTGCCCTTTGTTACTTTTTATTGTTCAGTGCAAAACTTGATAAATAATGGTTGGATTTCAATGAAACTTCATACAATGGTCAAGGGCAGTGAGATGAAGTGCAGGGCACAAGAACCATAACTCTATTTGGACTAATTACAGTTACTGCCCTTGTTACTATTGTTGTTCAGTGCATAACTTGAAAACTAGAAGTAGGAATCCAATTCAATTTCATACAATGGTCAAGCGCAATGAGAGGAAGTGCAGTGTACATTAACCATAACACCATCTTCAGTATTTGTAGAGTTATTGCCCTTTGTTCCTTTTCCTTGTCAAGTGCATAACTTAAAAACTAATGTTCAGAATTCAATGCAACTTCATACAATAGTCAAGCGCAATGAGAGGAAGTGCAGTGCTCAAGAAGCGTTAACTCTTTCTTGACTTTTAACATAGTAATTCAATAAAACTTCATCAATGGTCAACCACATTGAAAGGAAATGCAACATACAAGAACCACAACTATGTTTAATTGCCCACAACCATAACTCTATTTCAATTCTTTTGGTTAATACAGAATTTATTTTAGTTCGATTGTGTAGGAAGCTATAAGCTTATAGACACACTTTGAATCGGTTCCTGGAACCAACCAGTACTGAGCAATTAGTGTAAAGTTTCTTGCTGACTTGCCCCTGACTGGGTATGAATTCATGCGGCTAGCGATCATTAGATTACTAGTCCGACATGTTAACCACTCGGCCATACCACCACTACAATGTACACTTTCAATTCTTTTACAAGGTATTCTGTGTCTAGTAACTTCCTCATTTCCAAAGCAGTCTTGTGGGGGTATTAATCACATTTAGTGATAGTTCTAGTTTGTGCTTACATGAATCTTTACATATCTGCTCACTCTATTTTGCAATGAAATATATTGACAAACATGCTGGATAGGGGTGGATCAATCTGGTTTTTGTGTCGCCTTGAAAAGGTGACATATAGGGGTTACTTTTGTCGGCGGTGTCGGCGGCGGCGTCTGTGTCGGCGTCGTTGTCGTTGTCGGCGTCCGCTAAAGCTTGTCCGGAGCATAACTCAGTCACTATAAGTCTGATTGACTTCAAACTTGGTATGCATGCTTCTTTCAATAACCCGAAGTGCAGTGCACAAGGACCGGTACTCTGCAGTTCTTATTTTTTGAGTTATTGCCCTTTGTTAATTTTCATACTTTAATTTTGTCCGGGCCATTTCTCTTCAACTAAAAAAGCTATAGACTTGAAACTTCATAGGATGATAGATCTCATTAAGAAGAAATGCAGTGCACAAGAACCAGTACTCTGCACTTCCCAATTTTTGAGTTATTGCCCTTTGTTAATTTTCATACTTTATTTTTGTCCGGGCCATTTCTCCTAATGTATAAAAGCCATGGACTTGAAACTTCATAGGATGATAGGTCTCATTAAGAAGAAGTGCAGTGCACAAGAACTGGTACTCTGCATTTCTTATTTTTTGAGTTATTGCCCTTTTTTAATTTTCATACTTTATTTTTTTCCTGGGCCATTTCTCCTAATGTATAAAAGCCATGGACTTGAAACTTCATAGGATGATAGGTCTCATTAAGAAGAAGTGCAGTGCACAAGAACTGGTACTCTGCATTTCTTATTTTTTGAGTTATTGCCCTTTTGTTTATTTTCATTTTTTAATTTTGTCCGGGCCATTTCTCCTTAAGTATAAAAGCTATGGACTTGAAACTTCATAGGATGATAGATCTCATTATTAAGAAGTGCAGTGCACAAGAATCGGTACTTTGTATTTCTTAATTTTTGAGTTATGGCCCTTTGTTAATTTTCATACTTAATTTTTGTCCAGGCCATTTCTCCGAAAGTATAAAAGTTATGGACTTGAAACTTCATAGGATGATAGATCTCATTAAAAAGAAGTGCAGTGCATAAGAACTGATACTCTGCATTTCTTATTTTTGAGTAATTGCCCTTTGTTGATTTTCTTACTTTATTTTTGTCCTGGTCATTTCTCCTCAAGTATGAAAGCTATGGACTTGAAACATTATAGAATGATAGATCTTATTGATAAGAAGTGCAGTATACAGAAATGCTGCTCTGCACATATTATTTTTTTAGTTATTGCCCATCGTTATTTTTCATATTTCATTTTTGTCCTGGCCATTTCCCCTAAACTACATTGTTCACAAGGCGACACATCCGACTCGCGGAGTTCTAGTTTTTACATATCAGATATATTTTCATGTACATGTATTTGTATTGAAGACGGTTGACTCTTTATTTTGTTCACTTATATTTATTTTGAGAATAACTGTCTGTGAAATTTAATTTTAGGAATAAAGCATTTATGACGTTAAAAGATGCAATAAAATGTAACTATGAAAACTGGAGGATCTGGGAAAATTATTTACTGGTAGGTTATTCAGTTTTTATTATCCGTTTTTTTTTTTCTAAAGTTAGAGAAGAAAATTTGATATAATGAGATATAGAACAGCAAGGCTAGATGTTGCCTAAATAGTAGTAAATTGAACATTAAACGCTTTGTTACAATTTCTTAGAATGTTGCATTGCCAGTTCTATTCAGGGAAGGAAAAGTCAAATGTTAAAAAAAAACTCAAGTCCTTTTAATTTATTTTCAGCTGCAAGCAAATAACATTGTCCTGTATGGAATCTTGTTAACGTCAGTAAAATTAAAAGCTAGATATTAAAATATATTATATTATTCAGGTTGGAACAGATTGCGGGGAGTTTGGTGAAGTTATAAGGGCCTATCACAGATTATGTGATCTGAAGGAGAAATGGGTTGATGAAGAGGTAAGAGGTTTGTGTTGTAATAAAATACCATCCTGTGTTTCCTCATCCATGATATAGTTAGCTACTGTAGGTCATATATTCTGTCCTGTAAGCCAAGTGAAATTTGTCAAGGCTCATGTTCGTCTTATTTGATAAATGGATGTATAACATTTTATTCAAACATATTGATTTCTACTATTCAGAACAACATGAGCTTAGTTGTACTATCCAATGTTATTTTAAATATACTTTAATTTTGAAAATCTGTAAAGTCTTATCTTTAAGATATTTCCTTTATAGTATTTTGGATATTTTTTTTTCATTTATTAGTATATTGGATATTTGTAGTAGGTGTTAAACCATGAATATGTTCTTTAATATACATGTACTATAATACTTCTACATTATAAACCATATTTCACATGCTGGGTAAACTATTAAATGTAAAACCATGGTAAACTTGTACATTATAAACCATATTTCACATGTTGGCCCAGTTGGGTAAACTATTTAATGTAAAACTATGGTAAACTTGTACATTATAAACCATATTTCACATGTTGGGTAAACTATTTGGTAAACTTGTACATTATAAACCATATTCCACATGTTGAATAAACTATAAAATGTAAAACCATGGTAAACTTGTACATTATAAACCATATTTCACTTGTTGGGTAAACTATTAAATGTAAAACCATTGTAAACTTGTACATGTTAAACCATGTTTCAGATATTGGGTATACTTGTTAGAGCTGTTAATGAGAACCTACCAGATGCTCAAGGTAATCCAGCAAAAAGAATAGAACCAAAACTTCGTGAACTGTTTGGAAGAGTCACTTCAAGGGTAAATGTTGCTGTGTATTGTATTGTTTAGGTTAAATATTTGATTTATAATGGGCCTATTCACCTAACCAGGGAGTCAGTATCTGTGGGCTACATAACGCTTTGGTTAAAGTAGTGTGAACAACTACTACAAATTCATTTCTTGTCAACCACTAAAGGTATTTGCTTGTAACTTCATACATGACATAGTTACTGTCCAAGACCTCTGAAAATGTTTTTGACTGAATTATATCCCTTTGTGAACTTAAAGAAACCGGTTTAAGTTTTGCAAGAACACCAGTCTCCTACACTACTTAACATATTCGTTGTAAATTTGGCATGTATTTTGACTTATTTATGGCTTTTTAAGAACTTAGAAAATTTCTGGTTTAAGGTTTTTAAGCAACATCAATTTCAATCAACCACTAGCATTTATAGTTCAGAGGATTACGGTATACATACATGTATAAAGATTTGAATACTTATTTCAGGTGACTGATAAAGCTGAAATCTGGAGATTGTACGCTCAGTTGTGTACTGATGATCAAGATAAGGTGTGTGCTATTACCATATATAATATTCATCATCAGTTAATGTCATTACTATCTTTATCAATAAAATAATAAATAAAAGTCTGCAAGCTTACCTCAATAGTTACAGTCTCTGGTTTGATTCTATTGTAAGGCGAAATTTCCATGACATATGATGTCGGACATGGAGACTAATGGTCATGTTGTCCAGAAATCATGGGGGATAAGTAGTCGGTCACTTGTGCAAAAATTGGTGATTGTAAATAAGTTATCCAGGAAAGCTGGCTGGTTTGACCAACTACTGAGATATAACTAAAAGCCTACTACATTGTAATCAACATAACTACTGGACAAAGAAATAAAAATACATTTTTGATAGAAATTTCAGATGGTTCTGTATTTTCTTACATCTAGAAAGCGTTTCTTTCTTTCCTGTACCAACATTTATTTATCCTAAGGTATAGAATTGTATGCAATAATATCATGACTACATTATTTCAGATGTTACAGTACCTTCAGAAAGCACATAGATGTGTGATGCAGGCATCAAACTGGGAGAAAGATATAGATCAGTGTTATACTGTAGCCCAGCAGTCTCTACAACTTGCTGACAGTATGTCAACTCTTATCAGTCCCCTACAGGTTTAACCGGAGGGGACTTTAGGTTTACCGTCAGTTCGTCTGTCTGATTTTTACGCTTTTTCACTACAACTTCTTTATTCCTTAAGGTACTTACTTCAAACATTAAATATTAGTTTCTGGTCATCAACCACATTAAATGTGACAAGGTTTATCACTTGGGGACCATACGCCGTTTTTCATGGAATGGCACGGAAGTGTCACATTGAAGGTTCCATGATAACCGCCGTATGAACACATCTGCGGATGTTTCTAAATTCAAAATTTTACTACTTCATGTTTAAATGTTGAATTCTGCTTAAGCCGGTGCTAGGGGGCGTGGATGGTAACTTGCACTTTCCAGTACCGTCCATGAACAGGCTCAATCAAACCGAGCCTGCAACATTTTCAATTTTGCCGTGTTGGTCGTTCTTTAGGGATTCTGTATTTAGCTATTTTACAACCTAGCACAAAAATTATCAGAATTACCTCCCTTGAACATGGAATTTTCATGAAAAAAATGTAGTTTTTTTTTTTAATAACTTCTTTATTTCTTAATGTATCTGCTTCAAACTTCATATGTATGTTTCTTATTATCACTCAACATATGTGAGAAGGTTCAATACTCTAGCAAGACTATTTACAGAATTATGCCCTTCTTGAACTTTTTCGAGAAATAGGTATTTTTTCTCCCAACTTCTTCATTCCTTTTAGGATTTACTTCAAACTCCCACATCATAATAATGTAACAAGATTTTTTTCCAACAAATTGGACCTTTTGATAATCTGTTGTATAAACATAATTTCCTTACTTGGCAGGGAAACTAACACACATATCTATGATATAGACAAACTTAGAACTCAAAAGATTTAAGTTCATTGATGTCATTCATTCAGTGGGATAATTGAATGGCCAATGGCCCATCAGAATGTTGCTGGGGTTCTAACCCGTGATAATTGCTTGTCTTTATGAATTTTATATATTCACTCTTGAATATGGTATATATTTTTAAACATAGAGCCAGTGAAGTAAGAAATATAAATGGCCAACTGAATGCTCAAATAATAAGATATTGTTCACTGAACTAAATAAAGTTCTATCAACATAAAAACAGTAATATTTTAAACAAAGCTAAATTATACATTGTAAAGTACCTCAGTTAAATGACCATGTCTATTGATATTCTAAACAGAATAGAACTGTTTGATTATGACATAATTATAATTTTGTGGCAGACATAAACATATAGTATGTCATCTTGTGACAGGCTCTGTCCATTCTTGGCTAGATTACTTCAGTGCCACATCCCTACAAAACCTTATGTGAAAGACTATTTTACAGCAAAGCTAAACATATATGTTCTGTTTTCTCTAAATATTTTCTTTCACTTTAAAACTACCTTCTAACTAACTGTTGGCAAAATGCCAATCATTTAACAAAGATCTGTGTATCTATTCATAACTGAAATAGCCACAGAAAGTTAACAGGATGTATTAATTAGGTGTTCATTCAAAATAGTTATATCTCCTTCTTGGTCATTTGAGGTTTTATTTTTCAAATTATGCTATGTTTCATTTACCAATATAACTTAGTATTTCCTTGTTTCTTAATTTATATTAATATCAAAGGAATAAAACTTAACAAAATGGAAAAGTTGGTTGCTGTTAAAGTGTTAAGTATGTTATTTTGTTTTTATAGGCTACGTCTCAGCTAGTAGTGTGGCGAAAACTTCAACGCAGTCTCTACAGTTGATGTCATCAGCAAAATTAATGATAAAAGGTGTTCTCACTAAAATTAAGGTCAGTGTTAGAGTTTTTTGTTCTTTAATGAAAAGGGAACCTAGCATTATTTGTCTCTGGTAGTCCTAGATTTGTACAGGCCAAGCAGATACTGGGGCTAATTGTTTGTGTATAACCGAACATTATTTGGTATTTTTCATAGAAAAAACAAAATTAGGAGTGATAGTATAAAAAAGGTCAAAGGAATAGCCAGGTAGTGTATGTCTGGTGTGAACTTTGATGGAGACAAGTGGAGAGGATCAGTTAACTCTGTTTATTTTGTTGTCTGCAATTGTTTTGCCCTTTGATATCCTTACATGATTGTTGTGTTCTTTTGAAAAATAGAAATACTCAACAAATGTTCTGTTGTAAGCATCTTATCTGTTTGTCTGTCTTGTTACATTCTCAAAGGAAGTGATTTAATGACTTTAACCACTGTTATAAAATAATTCTGCATGGTGATGTATTTAGTGTTTCATCATTGTGGCAATGTGACCATGTTTAAACACCCAAATTGTGTCATTGAGACTTGTAAGTCAATATTTTATATTAACTATTCAGTTGTTTGACAACATATCATTTTCTATATTTTCAGCAACAACATACAGATCCTATAACAGAGAGTATACCATCAGACAAGATACGAGATTTATGTTCACAGCTACAAGAACAACTAGATAATCTTATACACAATATACAACAGTTAAAACTTGACCAATAGAGTGACTGGTGATAATGGTCAAACTGGAAATTAAAAAAACTGAAAATCAATCAATTTACATGTAATATACTAAATTCTATGGTCAAATAAATGAATATTATTCATATATTGAATTGTATGTTTGAAACGACAATGGTTCTATGTACATGTACAAAGAAAAATAATCATCTTGATTTATAGTGAATAGGTCTACAATATAGTTGAATATACACTTTTTCTACAAGTATTTCAAATAAATTAATAAAAACAATAGAAGTGTATCATTTGTAATTATTTTATAAAATATTGCTTTGAAAGAAAAAATGTTGATAAAATGATTTAGAATAAACATTTTTATGGTGGTTAAAAATATATTGTTCTAGAACAATTTATTATCTGCTATATAAATATATGTTATAATATTGTGTTGACTCTTGCCAACAACATCCATTTATAATTCTTTCTAGGTTTGCTGTGATTTATGATACTAAATACTTTCAACATGATTATTTAATGCAGACCTTCCATTATAGACCTATTCACTTTAAGCATAAAAGATAATTGCTGTCTGATTAATAAACCGTAATATAGCAACAAACAAACAGTTATCTTGACCCTTGGGAGTCAAATGATCAATTTCTACATGTATAAAACCATTTAAACTTCTCCAGAAGAACCTGTTCTATATAGCTAACTTAATTGATAAGAAAAAGTATCATTTGGTCCTCTGCAAATATCATGCAAATCATTCCTGCAGGATCATAACTGGTTCTTTCCCATGGTCACTTAGTGACTTACTTTACTTAGATTTGCATAGGAAAATACATTTAAATAATCGTCACTTAAATCGATGGTTTAGTAGCGGAGGTTTTATCATGAAGTTTTCTATAAAAGTTATTTAAATTATGACCCTGACAAAAGTAATTATAAATTTACATCTGGGACCAAAAAAATGTTTTGCTCACAAGCCCTGTGAGCCCCTTATTTTATTGTACAAAGAATAAAACTACAAATTAAAACATTTACCTTCACCTTATATGTTAGTACTATAGTGTATAGGAAAATTGATGCCCAGACCATTTAGTATAAAATTGTCATTCTCAATTGTACAGTTTTGTTTTATGAAGACTGTTTTAGAGATTATGTAATATTTAACACATTTATTGTGTCGCCTCTACGGAGTAGTGGCGACATATAGGGATCACTTCTCTGTCGTCCGTCTGTCTGTCTGTCCGCACTCACAGGAGAGTAATTATGTGGCTAGAGGGACAATAGGTTCTCTTTGATGTCATTCATTCTGTAATGCTTTTATGTGGCTATTTTCTTTTGCGTGGCTAAAAAGAACAGTAGAGAGAACAATAGAGTAGCCACATAATTACTGTCCTGTGAGAACGTCCGTCTGTCTGTCCGTCACAAAACTTGTCCGGAATACCCCTCATAAACTACTGGTGCAATTTCATCCAAACTTTACAGGAATGATCAGTATCAAGTCTAGTTGTGCATATTGTCAGCATTTTCCGGTTCAATGATTTTTGTCAGAGTTTATGGCCCTTTAATAATTTTTAATTTTTAAAGTTTGTCCGGACTACTTCTCTTTATACCACTAATGCAATTTCAATGAAACTTTACAGGATTGATCTGTAGCTCAAGTCCTTGCGCATATTGCACGGGTTTTTCCGGTTGAATGATTTTTTTGGCTGAGTTATGGCCCTTTGATAAAAAAAGGTGTTTTTTTTTCTGTGTGTTTAGCCAGATACACAAAAAGCTTGTCAGGATAATTCCTCATAAGCTACTGGTGCAATTTTATCCAAACTTTACATGATGAATCAGTACTTAGTCTAGTTGTGCACTGTCCGTCTGTCTGTCCGTCTGTCACAAAATTTGTCCCAACATGAAATTGGCCATTATGAGGCGACACATGTGATTACTGATCCACATGTGATTGTGTTAAATTGAGAAACATCTACTGTGTTCGTGTAAAGAAATTTGATAAAAATATTTCAATTTTTCATCTTTGATATTTTGTCCGTATATATAAGATTTGTAGACATATGAAGTGTGTTTAGAAGTTTAGATATAACATCCTTGTACTTGTAGCCTATAATTTTGATATGACGTGAACGGGTAGTTTTCATATTCACTAAGTTGTTTCATTTCATCTTCGACCTTTCTTTTCATATCCTCATTTAATATATTCATTTGTGAGTCTTGTTTGAGTAATCCAGACAATCTATAATACCGTTGCTTCTTCATTGTAAATTCATATACGAGGGACTCGGCGGTTCTACTGATTCTTTTGTGAGCATATTCACTCAAAACGTTTTTGCATGCTTGAACATGATGAGGTTCTATCACATAAATGATTTTTGTAGGTGACCTGCCCAATGTTCTCATAACTTCTGATTGTATTGATTCTAAATCCGACAAAACTCCCGCTGTCCCTGTATTTAAACCTGTAGTGAATAATTCATGAAGAACTTCAAATATATATCCTATTATTTTGTAGCCTGTCTTTCTTCTACTGTCACAGCCACCATGATTTGTTTCAAAAAGGAATATGTTAAATCCAGAGCCTATGTTCGGAAGTAATTCATCTTGAAAACATGCAGATAATAGTTTTATAGTGCTTAAGAGACACCTTCCAAGGTCAGGTTTAGGCAAGGTACAGTTTTTAATATGATGAAGTACAGCGGTTTTAATTTCATAAGAAGTTACTTTAAGCTTCCGGCGTAAGCCATCACACAATTTTGGGAAGTTAAATATTTTTTCCTTTATGAATTTTAGGATCATATACATGTTCCTATGCAGCTGACTACTATGTCATAGTGTGATATTCTCCAGCACCAACTCCTCCCGTCACAGCTTGGTTTAAATTGTAAATTAAATGTATTGTTTGGAAAAAGATAGCAGTTGCTTTCCACTTTTGATAAAACATCTCTTTCCTCCGAATTGTGTTCCAGCAATCGATTCTTGGAGCAACAATCAATACTGGATGGATGTCTACATAGACATCACGAAATATTATCACTATGATATTCGATTTGAGTGGAGGATAATGAAGAATGAATCACACTTTCGTGATATTTCGGTTCAAAAAACGAAATGAATTTTGTTTCCATGCATTTCAGATAACTCAAGTCTGCAGGCAACCAGTAGTCATATATACACTACATTCTTTGACATCCGTTAGCTATTTTGTTACTGTCTTGATATTGGTTTCTTAGTGACGGACAAAAACGAATTTTTTGCAATTTCTTTTTAACTGATTTACACAAATTGTGACGGAATGTGGTAATAACGTCAGTACTTAAACAAACATAGTAATCAGTTGATACCTTATAAAAGAGGTTTGCATTGATCCTTCACAGGAATCTTTGAAATTTTAAGGCTCGCCACATCTTGGCCAGGATTCCATTTCAATAATGAAATCATACTCTAATGCTTCATTTCCTTTGATTCTTGTTTTCTCAGCCATACTTCCGCAAGGTGTCACACGTTTAATATTAAAGTCTGGAAACATTGCGATCATAAGACCAACAAAACGATTAATTAATTGTTCCAGTCCATTTGTAACATCTTCTACTTTCTGCCTTTTCATGATTCAAACAGACCTTTTCAAATAACATCACTACAAAACTCCTCCATATTTTTGAATTTAGACTTGACTACATATCAGAACATTAATGTTCATTACAATTTTAAAAGTACTACACAAAATCAATATTTTCCTATGAATGGACACAGAAAACATATGCTTTTTGCATTCTTTGTAATGTTATTGTCAACATTAAATTCCAAACACAACTCTTTAAGTTTATTTTGCTGACAAGAAACTTTATTTCTTTGAAATTGTATTGTTTTTCTTGGTTGTAAGGTATTCACCTATCGCTTATTTTCTTTGACTTCATTTCTCTGTATTATCAAATCATTGACATACCTGAAAAAGAATACAAAATCATTTTTAAATTGCTGTATCAGTCTGGAAAATATAGACACAGCTCAGGCCAATGTTGAGCTAAATTCCATTTTGTACTAGCATAAAATGTAGGGAACATAGTCCCATGGTTTTGCAATGCTCTTTTTCTGGCCGAAGGCCGGTCTGTTTTCAATATGACCTGTAAAATTTACAGAGAAGAGCTGAAGAGTTGTCATTTGTCATTTTAGAATGACAAAATGAAATCTGGGAATCTCATTGGCATTCTAAAACTAAATGTAAAGGATAGTTTTTGTCATTTTACGTAGTTCTAAACTAAAATGTAAAGGGTAGTTTAACTTTCTGTTTAATTGCTGAGATAATTACTTTTTGTTTAACATTACTTCTTGCATGCAGATCTCATTACATTTTCTAGCGAACAGTTTAGTTTACATTTTATACGTAAGAACCCACTGAGTTTATTTTACACAAGATCTGAGTCAAATTTTGTCCAAAATAACGAGAATAATATCAGAATTTTCAGATACACTTAGTATATGATGTTCAATTTAAGTGTCAAATATACTTCTCGGGGCTAAGCAGGGCACTTTTACCATCTAGCCTGAAAGCTCATATTATGCCCTGGCAATAAACTAATACAAAGATTGAAAAGTGACATTTAACTGTTTAATAGTGTTTGAGTCTATTTCAATGATAACACAAACAATTTAATATAAGGTTAAGCTGCAAACCAATATGTTTATTTATCCCACCCACTTGTGTACACAAACAACAAAATATATACGTGAAAATATCGAAATTTTTCTGCAGTTTGAGGAAGTTGTTTAATTCTTGATCATATTAAAACAACATTTTATCATTCTTACCATGAAAGAACACCGCAGAGCGTATAAAGTTAACAGCAATTTGTCTTTTACTGCTGTAGACTTCCGTTGTGTACACCTCCTTATTTTTCTAAACCGGAAATCACCCCGCGCTCAAAAGACTGTGGGTTTTGGAAATAAACTCATCATTTCACAATAGCTATACAAAAACATAAAATGAACTATTCATGAAAATAATTGAATTGTTCATTATTGCATAAAATAGACAATCGATAGCTCAGATCAAAACATAATATTCATTTCACTATTGAAGGTCATGAATCAACGTCGTGTTTATGTTTAAAAATAATCATTTCACTGTCCTACATTCATTCTTGTTATCTGAAAATAAACGATAAACGATTTATAAAATAAACACTAGTTGTACAAAACCAAAATATAAAATATTCATGAAAATTATTGAAATGTTTTGTAGTGGTGGGGTTTTGTGAAGATAAACTCTCAATAAGTTTTCTATCTTTTATTTAGCTGAACGAAACCTATAACAAAATGAAATGATTATAATACAAATAAAAAAGAGAAATATTATACAGTAGAAAATTCATAAATTACTTATTTCATAATTAAAATAATGTCAATATATACATTATTAACATTTCCCAATTACTTTTAAACAATTAAGGCTTGTTAGGAGAAATCTAATGTATTAATATTTGAATTATAAAATACCAAGTATTTCTATGAAGAAAAAAAAAGAATTTTATAATATGTGATCACTTCGAAAACGAGATGAGGAGTGGTCAGTTACCAAGAAATTTTAGTTATCCCAGAACCAAATCTTACCTACCGGCTCTTAGGTTAAAAGCGGTCTATTAAATCACTTACCGACTGCCTCTGTGGTCGAGGGGTTAGAGTCGATGACTTCTAATCCAGTTACCTCTCTGGCGTGGGTTCGATCCCCGGGAGATGCTTTGGTAGTTTAGCGCGGAGGAAGGTAGTCTAGTACTGATGTAAGTCTCCAGGAACGATGGTTAGGAAACTACCCGCCTATATGACTGAAATACTGTTGGGAAAAGGCGTAAAATGAAACAAAGAAACTAACAAACAAAATCACTTACCGACCGCTTAACCGGTCTGCAAATATATACCGACCTGTTTTTGTTCTATTGTTCTCTATACAATACAAAAAAGATGTGAAGTCGATAAACTCGTGCATCACACAATATTCACCGTAAACGTAGAAATTTTGAAAAATAATGCTGAATATGGGGTGGTGGTGGTGGTGTGTGTGTGTGTGTGTGGGGG